TGAAATCCGAATTGGCTGTCTCCCAGTTGTTCGTCACACTTTACTCTTATTCTGTTCTGTATGATGTTTAAGAACACTTTTAGAACATCTCTCATCAGACTCATCATCTGGTACTCTCCATATTTTGTTGCATTTTGTTTTTTGAGTATTGTAATGAACGTAGACTTTAGCCAGTCATGTGGAAGAATGCCAGTTTCGTAAATGTTGTTGAAGAATTGGTCAAGTACTTCCTCCAATAGCTTGAGAATCTCGATGGGTAATATGGGTATGTTATCTGGTCACGTAATATCTCTGATTTTAAAATAGTTGGACCCGTGTCATCAGTAATTATTTGGATATTTCTTGATGGGTCTGCGAACATCTCCGAGCCTGCACCCCGCAGTTGATTATTGATCTCTTTTTTTGTGCAATATGAATCATATTATAATAATATTATTTTGTAGTTTGTCTTCAAAGTTACAAAAATAATGTTTTTTTTGGTAATTGTGGCTGGCTGTATTTAATATTTAAAGATGCTACTTGTGTTTTCTATGTTTAAAATATATTATTTTTGATAGCAGACTTAATAGGTTCCAAAGATACCAAAAACTTATTTGTTGTTGATTTGATCTCAGTTAAATAATTTTTATACTATTATAAGTTCATTGTTATCTGTACAATTATTATGGTTTGGATGTAAAAGAAGTGAATCACACAATTTGTTTTATTTGTAGACTCAGTGGGTATTTAAAAAAACGGTTTTCTTTTTTAAATTAACTACATTGGATTTTTTTGATAAAACCGGACCTAGCTCCGGTTTTCGGTTTTGGTACCAAAAAAACGATGTTCAAAACCGGTTTTGATGACTTTCCGGTTTTACATGCCCTAGTGTATGACCAAATGTATGACTCACTCGCATACTTTCTGAATAAGAGAGGGTTCCTTCAATTCATATTAATCCTACGTACTTTTTACGAAGCAGTAAATTGTATAAATTGTAATGGATATTCAACTTTATTAACAAAGTGAGTAGGTTGATTTTTTCTATTGATAAAATTTGATAATTGGTGTATGGTTATGTGCTGTTGACTTTAGTCTCGACAACTTGACTAATGTCACGTTCTCTGTTCTATAATCATAGTGAACATTTTGTTTATGAATGAAAGACCATTATATTCATCAAAAATGCAGGTGGGCATAGTTTCAAGTTGAGCGAGCGTGGTGATTAACCTCTTGAGTGGTATATTAGACACAATAGAAAATACATTGTGTCTCCCGTAGATCTACGTTCCGGCATACCACGGGTTAATGCTCAAACCTTCTCCGTGTGAGAAGAGGCTTTGCTCAGTAGTGGGCACTTATAGGCTGTTGATGATGATGATAAGAGCCGATGAAACCGCGCGGATGCATGTAGCTACTAGCTAGTAATAGTACAAGATACAAGAAATTATTATGATATATGATTGTAATTAAGGTTTACAAGTACATAAATAAGCAATTAAATAGAATGAAGGCCTTGGCAATATTTTTTTACATAAGCAAATATGTACGTCTTATCGGCTTTAAATTAAATTCTATGTACAGTCGCCAGCAGGTCAGCCTATCTCTTTCTGTCAAATTTCTTTATCACATTTTGAACTTTATTGTATTGAAATAAAGTCGAAAATCCAATGAATAAAATTGACAGACTGGAGTTACTTGATCTTCTGGTGACTGTACATAGGTATGTTGGTAAGCCCCTATTTATGGATTTTTGCTAGTCCCCTATCAATTTCCAATATTGACATAACCATTTGATACTAGGGCATCGCACTTTACATGGTTATCTATCAGAAGTTTCGGGAAATAAGTAGGTACCTAAGCACAGTTTTTTTAAGAGCGGATGTAGATTAAAAAATAATCTGTCTATAATCTTATAAAAATAATGTAATGCTTAAATATTTGTGTTATAAGTTATAACTTTCGTGAGACATACTAAATTAATTATTATGTTTTTGGCTTGCTCGCGTATGTAATTATGTGAAGAGGAACTCGACTAGTTAGTTTCAAACCATGCTAGAGGCTCATATTCATGAGCAGCACCCTCATTAGAGGCTCATATTCGACGACGAAATTGGCGACTGTAGAGCAGCGCGACAGTCGCCGCGTCGCGGGTCGCGAAATGCTGCTCATGAATATGAGCCTCTAGCATGGCTTGAAACTAGTCGAGTTCCACGTCACATAATTACGTGAGTAAGCCGAAAACATACAACAAACAGCTGAAATGTTTGTAACCGTATAACTTTAGAACTGATTGACCAAATTGGATGAAATTATTTTTCTTGTGTTCGTTATTTTTGGGACAAGATTTATATTCAAGGGAAATTCGATTAATTCATCGGGAGATTACACCTATGCTCATGCAAAGGTTGGGCTTCTCTATTAGATTTTTGTCCTTTCGTCCAAAAAAAAATTAGAATAGATTCGCAACTCTTCAATCCCAAACATGTTGCATATTATTTACTTCATTAAAATTCTGCCTTTTAAGGCATCGTCCAAATCCTAGTGTGGGGCAACGTTTTCTTTTTTTAAGAAAAAAAAGAAAAAAAAAATCGATGTTCATAAAAAAAACGTACCTAATGTTTGATAATAATTTAATTTTAATGTACATTAGGCTTCTAACTACGGGGCAGAAGGTTGTTTTGCATATTTATTGTTATTTTAAAGTCGATTTTAACAGCGACCATGGTTTGTTGTCTATCATTTTTACTATCCTTCCTAACTATGTGGAATCGAAATGTCTGTCTGTGTATTACACAATAATCTAACTAATATTAGTGATTTTGTGTGTATGTTTGTTACTCAGTCACGTCAAAAGGTCTAAAGAGATCGGGATGAAATTTGGAACAGGAATAGATTATGGTCTGGAATACACATAAGGTATTTTAAACTATATCCTCGGACGCGGGCGAAGTCGCGAGCAGAAGCTAATTCGAAAGTTTGTGTGTTTATTACATCTTCATATATAAACGGCTAAAGAGATCTCGATAAACTTTGGGACAGGGATAGGTCTTATTGTCAGGGATATTATTGTCTGCAATAACACATAGGCTACTTATATCCCACGAGAACGCGGGCGCCGCCGCCGTTGGCAGCTAGTGTAAAAATATAATAATGTAACATCAACTTGTCATCTAATAGAGGGTAAACCTTGGTTGAAATAGTGCCTGATTGAGTGCTTTTATTACCAACTAGCTACTTCCGCGGTTCACACGCTCTGCTCAGCTCCTATTGGTCGTAGCGTGATGTTTTATAGCCTATAGCCATCCTCGATAAATGCGCTATCCAATACAAAAAGAATTATTCAAATCAGACTTGTAGTTACGGAGATTAGCCCGTTCAAACAAACAAACTCTTTCGCTTTATATAATAGTATAAGATATAAGATAATAGTACAAGATATATTTAAAAAAAATAAAACTAAATTTGGTAGATACTACGCATTGCAAGACTCCAGGTCTTGCAATGCCAAGGAGTCCGAAACCTCTTGTTCAGCAGCCGCACTAACAGGCACTATGCACTCGACCAACGATGTAGGTAACCACTTTTTGTCACGAAATAAATATTTAAATATCAACTATTTATGTCAAGTTCTTTTTTTAATCTCATGACTAAAATATATAATTTGAACCTCCTTTGAATTTGGTTCAAATGTATAAATCGCATGAAGTATGCTCTAGCTAGACAAACTCGCGGCAAAATACTAGTTTTTATGCGTGTTTAAAATAGTTATGTAGTATTTTTATCGTTATGTACAAGAATAAAATTTATGTAACTATTACGGATTATGTGGACCAAATAGCGACGTTTACAAATTACTACGCATAAAAAAATTACTGCCCATCTAGTTTATTACGAAGAAATTATATTCAGTAATATATTATTTCTTTTAATATTAATATAATATCACTTATTACGATATAATTGGGCTGATACCAATTATTTGGAAACTAAGTCGACATTCAATACTTAAGCATTGACGTAATTCAACAGGTTTACTTCTAAAATTAACACAGACATTTACTAATAACTGGAAACACATTTTATCATTCTGAAAATACGGCACAAAATACGAAAACAAATCTGTTACTAGGTAATCTAATGTCATGTGAATTCATATCAGTTTCGTTTCGTAACATACCTTGAACAAATTCAAAGTATTTTATTGGTTTTTTTTCGTGATAAAACAGGCTATCCTATATAGATTATCTGTGTCGCCATCGCCACACCTTGCCTTATCGCCTAACCTTCGCCTAACAAGGTACTATTAAATAAAACATAAAATTATGTTGATCACAATGTATTCTTTAGAGTATAACCCTGTACTTCTTGTATTTAGAATTAGGTTTACAATACAACATTAATTGTTTGCGGGATTTACACATATGTATGATGCAAACATGTACGTATTGAGTTTCAGAATTCTGCTGTATAGTAAAGTAATTATACTAGACCCTATCACATTTCAATATTTTACATTACATAAGGTACATAGCAGGTTTCATTATAATTACAATAACAAACACTTTCCATATTGACATTAATTATTATTTCAATAAACATCTAATCATAAGTCATACAAGATTCAAGTGAAAACAGAATGAATCACAACAGTAGGGCCAAAGAGTTCTGATAACAGATGACTCACTTTACTATACTCGTACACCACGCAACCTCAGACTTGCCATCACAAACAATGCAGGATATGACAATGTTCAGCGGTAAAAATAAATTACCAAAAATAAATAAAATGTGTGATGTAACTTTAACTAATAAATGTACAAATCTTTCTAAAACAAAAGCAACAATTAACCACTGTTCGTTTTCAAAACTAACATAGCAATTAAAATAAAAACTTAATACTATTATTTAACTATAAACACACATCCGAATATCAGTCGCTCCCACACAGACTATGATACACTGGTAAAACGTAAACATTCACCAAATTAAAGCTTTCGAGTATGAAGGAGGGATGGGGCTCAGAACTTAAGTTTAGGGTTGAGTTCATGGGCGCGGCCGCCCCACTCCAATCGGTAAGTGCGAGTCCGCCACGAGATCTCTGGGCTGAGCAGCGCCGCCGCTAGCACGAACGGCGCGCAGCACTCGCTCCACACCCAGCCTAGCAAAAACTGCACTTTGGTGAATGGCGGCGAGCCATTCTGCACTGACCGGAGCATCAGCCAATCCGAGAGGAACCACACTAGCACATGCACTAAGAAGAACGGTAGCGGCTCCGCGCCGAACAACTGTCCCGCCGCCCAGGCGGCACCGGCGCCCAGCGGCATGCACTCGCTGAGCGGCTCCAGCATCGCTGTCGTAGGAATCATAGCGATGCGGAGCCGCGCCCAGCGCCGAAGTCGCGCCTGCAGCGCGCCCACTGACCGCGTGCCCGAGTTCTGTAGCGCGGGCAGCGAGCTGACGCGCATCTTCCAGCCGCGCGACACGATGTCCTTGGCGATAAAGTAGTCCTCGGCCAGGTAGTCTGCAAAGGCCCGCAGACCGCCCGCCTCTTCCAGCGCACAGCGCCGCACCATGGACGACATGCCCACATGACAGTTGATGCCCAGGAAGTCCGCCGACAGATACATGCGCGCCTGCGCAGTGCCGAAGTACACTTTCTCATACACGGCTGCGAATCCCTCCGCATCACAAACGAATGGCATTTGATGTACTATAGCGACCTCCTCCGTCATATGCTGCACCATATCCAGCAAGGTGTCGTCGCGCATCCTAATGCCCGCGTCGCTGATTAGTACCAGCGGGTACTTTGCCGCCAAGTAAGCCGGTTGCATGTTGTTGATCTTCGGGTTGACCCCGACTCGCTGTCCACCCACGAATAAACGAGCTTCTATGTGGGGGTGCTTGTGGATGAGGCTGTTCACTAACATCACTGCCGGGTCGTGCTCGTTTTCCACACAAAACAATAACTCGTACGTGGGGTAGTCGAGAGTAAAGAATGTTTCCAGGTTGGAGAACAGGTTGGGGTCGACGCCGGTGAGCGGTTTCAGGATCGACACACCAGGGTACGGCTGTTCAGGCGGCGACCGGTCCACTGTATGATGCAGCTTCCACTTCGAGTAACAGTAAGCCATTATGTGAATTAACCACAGACACACCCATGCGATCATAAAAAATATGGCAAAACCATACACAGTATACACAATAGGCATCATAATTGTATCCTTAAGTAGCTGTCGCGTTCGGGCCGCATAATATCGACTAGTTTCTTGTAGGAGACGTGCGCTATGACGCGATCATAACACTGAACTGAATGTGTGATAAAAAATGTGTTAACGTGTAGAATGAACACTCCGTAAAATGATACAACATTTTATATTATCACGTTATCTATACGGTTTTATCATTTTGAACAGGTATCAGAAATCAATTCCTTTATCAAGCGGCTGAACCCGAGACGAGATAGCGAAAATCCTTCACGCGACAAACTTCAAGCGTCACTGCTACCAACATTACGGAGTTAAAAATTTGCGTTTAGTTTTACTTCACGTTTGATTTTATGAAACGTGAAATGAAACGCAAAATGACGTTTCGTTTATAATTAATTGTAACTAAAATAACCATCTTCATAACTGATGAATTCCATCTATTGAAATACATAATTATATATAAATAACATGAGTACCTACTTCTACACAATGCACAATGATTGAAGGTCCCAAAAAATATTTATTTTTATAGTTTTGCGTTTCTAAATAAGAAGCGTTCAGTTTATAGCATTTGTAAACATAACAGGTTAAAACCAGGGTTGCCAATCTATGGGGAATTCCCCAAACTGCGGGGAATCTCAAGTTGGTTGGGGATTTATTGGGGATTGGCATTATGTGGGGAAAATGCGGGGATTTTGACATCCTTTGGCATTTGACACAAATTGGAAAATATTTCATCGTTTATTATCGATAACAACATTTTTTTAAATCATAAAGCATGAAAGCTGGAGAGAATATGGAAGATTTGAAAAAATATGAAAATCGAGGTACATTTTGCAGCTATTGCAGATTTCTATAAGACATGCTAAGAATTTTATATGGAATTCACGTCGGACATTATTAAGATATTTGATTTCCGAGATCCTTTATTTTCTATTATATCTGTTTCAAATCCAATAGAAGCTCAACAGTTTCAAATTAAAACAATCAATATTATTTAAATAATTGATTATAGTTTTATTTTATAAAAAATTTTTGAGGGGAATTTGTGGGGAATCAGCGGATTTTTATTCCCCAATTTGGGGAATTCGATCAGGAATTTTGGGGATTTTGATGAATTAGCTTTGGCAACCCTGGTTAAAACCCTGTAAAATTATAAAAATAGGTTTTTATTGGTTTAGAATAAATTATTATTATGGTCCATACTTAATAATTAAATAAAAACATCATCAATGAGTAATTCATTTCTTAACTTCAGGTATTTGAACAAAATAATCATTAAGTTGTAAATTGAACATTCCTCAAGCTCAACAGGAAATACCAACCTCATAAAACCATAACTTCATAAAAATAGCGTCGTTTCAAATTGTTTCGCGGTATTTGAGTAAGTGAAAAATATTTATATTTGTGATGAACTAGAATAAAATTCGTCATGGATATAGGAAAACTACTAAAAAATGTTCATAACCTGAACGAATACATATCGACTACTCAAGATGCTACGGAGAAATGTAAAACTTCAAAAATACAATTGAACATGTCGACTGTTCTTGCTCTGAAGAAAATACGTTCCCTGGAAATCGAGGTTCCTTTTTATTTAAGTAAATAATTGTAAAAGTAATGTACTGAACTACAAAGTGCGTATATTCATTGTTTTATTTCAGTATTTCAATAAATGCGAGGAAAATGGAATCGCATGTGTGATATTCGAGCGAATGTTATGCTTACCGCCTTCTAAAACATGGGGCGTCCTCAGCAAGGAGTTGGTAAATCTTCTGCAGTACTGGCTGGACGCTATACGAAAACATTTAGTTCGGCACAACTCTCAATGGTGGACATTTTTAAAATTGTTACTTGCATTTATAAAGGTTTGTACTGATAATACATAAGAAAGTGATTATTGCAGTCAAAATATTATTGGGTCAGTGGGTGGTCTTAGGTCTATAATATTGGTTGAGTGGTTTAAAGTGTAAGTATCTGCTGACTGAAATTTTGGGCTCGGAGTACTCATAACACAACTGGTCTGAAGTGGGTCTAAGTTGCATACCGCTACCTACCCAGTCAGCGATAAAAAGGCGTGACGTTACGTATATAAGTACATACACATATGTACTGTAATTACACCATCTAACAATATTTTTTACATAAAAAATGCTCTCAAAAGTAATTTCACATAAAACCTCTTTACAGGAAATCAGGCAGAAAGACACCTCCTTGCCAAATATACTAGTGGAGCATACAGCTGAATGTCTACTGGACCTGGCCACCAACACCAGACCGGATGCCTTACAAAAACATGAAATCCTTCACTGCTTCAACATGTACTGTTCTGAATCCAGCCGAGAGATCAGATTTGCTATGAGGAACAAATTTGGGCAGTATTTGTAAGTTTTAATTGTGATTTAATATACAAACTAGCTACTCCTGTGTGGATCCACACGCTGCAAAGCCTATTGATGGTAGCATAATGGTTTTATAGTCTTCCTCGATAAAGGGACTTAAAATATTCTTTTTATGTTGGACACATAAAAAGAATATTTTAAGTCAAACCAGTAGTTTCAGAGAGCATTTAAACAAACAAACAAACAAACATTACCTTATTGTGAAATTCGGAGCCAGTGGTATATTATGCTCTGGAATAACACTTAGCTAATAAGGGTGTCTGCCTTTGGTGCAGATTTGGAGAGTTATATGCGTACATATCGAAAATTCTTTCTATTTATTTTATACTAGCAGCCCGTCCCGGCTTCTTCGCACGGGGTAGACAATTATTTATTTTTGGAAATTTGAATTGTTGTTGTGACATAACTACAATAGTTGGACATATGTTACCGCGGAGTTTTTTGTAGACATTATGATGTTCTTCAATATTATTGTACATTATTTTGTTCTATCGCTAATACTTTCGGCAGCGCATTCGACGAAAGACATTTTAAGACTCATTTTCTACACCTTCGGTTACATTGTTCAAATTTTACCAAGGATCCCTAAGTTTTATCAAAATGAAATGTAGCCTATGTCAAATTGGAAGAATGTAGCATTCTATTGGTGAAAGAATTTTTTTAAATTGGCCCAGTACTTTTTGAGCCTATTCATTACAAACATACAAAAATAGGTACAAATCTTTCCTCTTTATAATATTAGTATAGATTTAGTAGAATTTCATATTACATCATCCTTTACTTACAGCACCAAGTTATCGACCTACATGTCAAGCTGTGGTCACCTTCCGACGCAGTACAGCATTATGGAGACCCTCCTCCGCTGGCTCCTGCCTCGTCAGGACCGCACCCTGAGACTCACGTCGGCAGCCAAGTGGTTCCCATCACCTATGTATGCTGAGTCTGACGTGGATATCTTTCTGGAACGACCTTGGGTCAACTTCTTTCAGGTTTGTATGAGTTTATATATAACTAGCTTTTACCCGCGGCTTCGCTCGCGTCACAAAAGGATAAAAAGTAGCCTATGTGACATATGCCTTGTATATTATATATTTTTTACCTCGAGAATATTAAATATTTCCGGGATAAATATAATAATCCAGATTTCTAACTTTACGTCTGCAAAAATTCAAAGCAATCGGTCTAGTAGTTACGGCGTGAAAGCGTAACAAACAAACAAACTCACTTTCCGATTTATAATATTAGTAAGTAAGGATTTACATGTCTGTCTTATTTCAGGACGCGAGAGACTTCTTGAACGCTCACAACCAAAGACATGATGATGTTACATCGGTTGTATGCAGAAAATTCACTGTCGGCAAAGTTGTTATTATTTCTGTAAGTATCTTTTGTATTTTAGTTCATCATCGTCTTTACAAGGTATACCATAATCATCAGCAACAGCCCTTGAGAATGCCTTGAACAACCACTTTTCTCTATTTATGTTATGAGTCCCATGTAATAGGGGGTGAGCCTATTGCCATATACCGGGCACAATTCCAGACTCCGTTTGACTTTGCCCGACCCGGGAATCGAACCCGAGACCCCTTGCCCGGCAGTCGCACTTGCGACCACTCTGTCAACGAGTCACTCATGTCATGTAATAGAATAAAATACAAAAATGGTCCCGAGTTATATCGATGACAATAACTTACATAGCATCATTGATTCCTTACATGGGTGGGACTCCTTATATGATGACTGTGATATGACGATGATGAATAATAGCTCATATATTTAATACGTTTGACGTAATACAAGTCTTCTGGTTAAAATGTGATGAGTCCCCAAAATTGATTATACGGATCGGTGTATAACAGATTACTCATTGTCGATAATGATTCACTGGTTTCTTTAAACTGCATCGTTTATACCTGTGTGGTCGTATGTATGTAATGGCATCAACGAACATTTTTAGTCAGTAAGAGTCTGATATTCCCTCTCGCCTAACCCAAGGTGGGAGAAGTAATTTAATGATTTTCCCCCCTCAAAAAAAAACGTACTCACAATATGTGGGAGAGCCATGCTTCGGCACGAATGGGCCGGCTCGACCGGAGTGATACCATGGCCTCACAGAAAACTGACGTGAAGCAACGCTTGCTTTGTGTTTCGTCGTGTGAGTGAGGTTACCGGAGGCCCAATTACCCTCCCCTTCCCCAATCTCCCCAATCCCTGAATCCCCAACGATCCTCAAACTCCTAATCCCCAAAAGGCCGGTAACGCTCTTGTAACGCCTCTGGTGTTCCTGGTGTCCATGGGCGACGCCGATTGTTTACCATCAGGTGATCCGTCTGCTCGTTTACCGGCTTATATCATTAAAAAATAGGGATGATAATGACAATGGTAATGACACTAATGACAATCTGTTGAGTAGATTTCGTATGACCCTACAATGTCGAAATTCTAATTAGGTATGTCGTCTGGAAATAAGTTCAGTATTTCATAAATAAACATTTTTCACTTCTCGAATTCCATACCCCTTTTACGATACCTATTTTTATTTGTCCCCAGGGTACGGAACGTCAAGAATCGTGGCTAGACATTAATATGGTCAGCAAGTGTGTGTCAGTGTTACTGGACCCTCGCGTTTTGGAGACCTTCGGCTCAACCAACCACAAGTCCTTTGAAACACTCGTCGTTACACAGCAGAATACTGAAAGCGCTAAGTTACATAGGTAAGTGACCCCCTCAATCTCCCCAAATCTCCCAATCTTCAAATCACTAACGCCAAAAGGCTGGCAGCGCACTCACAATAGGGATGACAGGGTATGAAAATTCAAAATCTAATTAGTCCGTCAGTTAGGTAATGAAAAAATATAAGACACGTATTTTTTTATTTTGTCGTATAAGAAAACAATACTTAGATAAAACATATCAAAGTTTAGAAGTGGGAGGTAGCAACGTCATTAGAGTATAAATTGTACTTAAAAGTGAGGTCACGCGATAATTTCATATTAATATATCTTCGAAACTGTTCGTTTCCGTAAGAAAATAAAAAATACGTGTCTAATGTTTTTAAATAATCTACCAGACAGATATTAAAAACAAAAATTAGTCATTTACCCTATTGTAAGTCCCCTAATGTGTCGACTGTTGATGGGCGACGCCGCGCCGATTGCTTACCATCAGGTGATCTGCCAGCTCGTTTACTACTTTATCCTATAAAAATAGCATTGTACCTAAGTATGTATCTTTGTTGGTTACATTAGATCGCATGAGAGTCAACTGCTGGACTATGACGTGGACGTCCTCTCCATAGGAGGACTTGACCATAATTTCCACTCAATATATTTCCAAAAAAGATAGCATCTACCTATTGTTATTTTTCGGCAATTGCTAACTAATGGTATAAGGAATTTCACAATAGAAAATCCTAATAATCTTCTAGAAATTGTTATCAGAAACAGAAATCAATTTTAAAATTATCACTAAGTAGGTACTAGCAGAAATTCGTAATCATTTCCATATATGGAAACAGGCCGTCCTCTTAGTACCTACGTATGATGTGACTAATAACAATAACATTACCAAAAATACTATTTACTACAACATTATACTTATCGGAACGAATTTACGCATCATTTTACGTTTTCCAAGAACGATACCTTATCATCCGTTACCTAAAGTTGATATTGTATTGAAGTTTTCCTCCCTTTCCGATCTGGGGGCCTAGTACAAGTTTGTCTTTATTTATTACCCCGTTTGTTTGGATTTTTACCCCCTTCTTGATGACAGATCGATCCGATATTTGGCACACAGTCTTAATCTTGATGACTATATAATATTTCCTATTGTACCTATGTTTTCCCACAACTACTTACCTCCGTTATGGATATCAAATGTAAAGGCTGGTGACGCGATCAATAGATTTTAAGTCATTATAACCGTTTTACATAAAACATATTTTTTTAAATATTACTTGTTACGTTACGTTAACGCAATCAAAACGGTTTACAAATTTAGCTCTCTAATTGGTTGGTTAAATTGCAGCAGCCAATCAGAGCGCCGAACGTCATAAAATGTAAAACGAACTTGCATTAGGCCCTCTGTTATGATCACAAGGCAAAATATTTGATAACGATATAAGTCATTTCGCATATAAGCTGTGTTTTGTGTCGATGTCGATAAAAACTAGGTACCTATGATTCACGATATTATCGCATTTCCAATATCACGTTATCGGACTACTCGAGTTATCTATCTATTTTTGTTTCACTGAACATCTGTGCGACACTTTCCTCCTTTTGTTCTAGATAGGAGTATAAAAATGAGTTGTTTTTTTATGCGAATCTGTGAGTCATTCGACTAAAATATAACATTTGTTTAGATTATTATTGTTAGTACCTAAGTACGTAAACATGACATAATGAGTACTATTGTTAGTCGAGGAAGGTATTTTATTTACCTATATGTGCTATGTTTTACCGGTATTATATTTACCAAGTAGCCATCAAATTGTTTACAAATTAAAGTTCTCTTAGGAATTTAGGGAAAATTACCTCCATTCGTGCGTCTTTATACTCTCTAAGGTTCAATCCTAATCAGTCGCAATGATATTATTATTATGTTCAAAGTCAAAGACAAAATCATTTATTTCAATTAGACCAGGAAGGCACTTTTGAACGACGACCTCATCGTTCGCTTGATAAAATTGACGTGTAAAAGTGCTGCCTTGTAGCCTATTTGCAGAAATAAATTCACTTGTTTCACTTGTTTCACTTGTTTCACTTGTAACGTCAAAACTGAATATTTATATCCTAATCCTAACTAATATTATAAATGCGAAAGTAACTCTGTCTGTCTGTCTGTCTGCTACTCTTTCACGCCAAAACTACTGAACGGATTTGAATGAAATTTGGTATACAGATATTCTAGACCCCGAGATAAAACATAGGCTACTTTTTATCGCAAAAAAGGGGTTGTAAGGGGTTAAAAGGGGGGGGGGGAAATTGTATGGGATTTCATAATTTTTAAAGATAAAACCATGAAACTTTATATTTAAGCACTTGATAAAAAATAATAAAACATTTGTTCTAGCGTTTTTGAAATTTCGACTCACTATGTCGATTTTTAAGAATAATTATTACGATTTATCTGAAAACCTGAAAACGGATATCTGACAGGTAACAACCTAATGATTTGTAATTGTTATGGCGTCCTACTTTCATAATATATTTTGGTATCAACATATAAAAATGAAGTTCTGTGGGTTTTCAAGGAATAATATTAGTATTCAGCTGCATCAGGGATCAGGGATTTTAAAGACAAAATACGAATTCAATTGACTGAATACAATTTATTCATAGACTAGCCTCTGTCTGCGGCTTCTCTCGCGTTCTTTTAATGGGGTGAGGGAAGGATTTACAATAAAAAAATGAAATGATGCACGATTCTATGCTGGTCACAAATAACCCGCATACCAATTGTTAGCTTTCCACATTGAAAATTGCAAAATACCCCATACAAACTTTCACCTCTGTTTCACGGAAGTGGAAGGGGGTTAGAAAAAGACAAAAAGTAGCCTATGATACTCTCCATCTTTTCAACTATCTCAAATCAAAAACCTTCCTGACTCCGTTCTGTCGTGAAATACGGACAAACAAACAAACAAGCACATACAAATTTATATTATTAGTATACATTTCTTAAGTCATCTGACATTTGTGTGACAAGTGAGTTTACAAAGTCAATTTGTCATAGATTTTTTTTATACTATGGTATTAATATTAAGGTATGCAAAGAGGTTGACAGCAGTCTAAGGAGATAAAACCACGAATAAAATATTTTCAGTTTACTTGAATTCGTATTTTTTATATGTATATCAAAAAAACTAGCTAAATGCACATAGCTAAAAAATAATATTAGTCCTTTTCATTTTAGACCGTCAAGGCCAAATTCACTATGATAGTTTGCTGTTTTTTTATGGCATAAGCCGGTAAACGAGCAGACGGATCACCTGATGGTAAGCAATCTGCGCCGCCCCTGGACACCTGTAACACCAGAAGTGCTAGAAGTGCGTTACCGGTCTTTTGGGAATTGGTAATTTGAGGATTGTCAGGGATTGGGGGGCTGGGGGAGGGGTAATTGGGCATCCGGTAACCTCACTTACACAGCGAAACACTCCTTTAGGTAACCGAGGGCTGGGCTCGCTGTCATTGCAGCGGAAAGTCCCCTCTTTAAAAGTGGCTTTAGAGAGGCCATCAATGCAAGGACCGCCCGGAGAACACGGTGGAGCATACCGTGGCGGTGTACCTTGCATGGGCTGAGCGTTCGGCTCTGGTTCAGGCCATGGAGCGAGGGGGATTGGGATGCAGTCGCATCCTTCTGCGAAGCAGTTATGCTGGCCAAGGAGAAACCGGAGCGCGTGAGGGAATGAACTTCCTCACGCCCCAGCCGTCGCGGGAGACACTCTGGGCGTCGGAGATCGGCCGGCCACCGGCCACCGTAAGTGCGGGTCTGTAGACGAAGAGCAAGGGTAGCTCGCCACCCGACCAGAACCAGTCCCGTGCATACGGCGCGCGCCTTACAGAGCCATGACACCATCATAGATGGAGCCCAGTAGGGCTGATGCTCGATACGGTGCCGCGGGAGGCCTAACGAGTTGACGGGGCTCCGGCTCGACGAGCAGGAGTAGGAACGGAGTGGATTTTAGTCAGTAAGAATCTGTCACTCCCTCTCACCTAACCCAAGGCGGGAGAAGTGATTGGATGATTTTCCGACCTCAAAAAAAATCTCCTTTAGGTAATGACAACCCGATGTGTGAAAAACTATCAAAAAAACTCCTTATATTATTGGTATTGATTACGCTGTGGAAATTATGGACAATAGAGCCAAGGGATGTATTAAGTCTTATAGAGGACATTAATATCAACATTAAAGTACATGTATCATATGTAACTAATCTAATATCAGAATACCTATTTTTTCATTTAAATGTTTGCGATAGTAACGCACGTCGCACCGGTACATATCAGGTCACATTATAAGAGAGAGGAAATCCCAAAATGACGGAAACTATGCGCTAAAAAACCAGGACCAAGGACGTTGAAATAAAGAGGGGCTCTTACCTTTTAAACCATTGAACCTATTTGGTGAAATTCGGTACAGCGATAGTTTAAGACCCGGGAAAGGACATCTAAAAGTTTTTAACCCGAAAAACCCATGAAACCGGGAACTGTGTTGTTAAAATCACTATATCTATTTGATTGAAATGCGATACAACATTGATTTGCAAACATAGAATAGTGAAACCTCACGAGACGGGCACTGTACGGGTAAAACCTCTATGGGATTGTTTATTTTAGAAACCACGAAAATAAATTCATTTCTCAATAAATATATAGCCTAGGTACTGAATCGATTGTGATGATATTTGTTCCAGTTGTACAGCCGTAGAATATACCTTGACAAAGACTAATTTAAAAAACCCAATTTATACAGAAGTCGTTATTTCACGCGGACGAAGTCGCGGGTAACAGCTAGTGCGTAGTCAAAGAGTATCAAAACCCAACCTATTATTAATATAAGAAATTCAACCTTAACTCCACAGACAGACAGTGAATATTAGAATAAAAAGTAGCCTATACTCCTGGATAAGCTTTCCAATATAATGGTAAAAGAAATGTTCTAATCGATTCAGGTGTTTCGGAGCATGTCCAATGTAAAGAAACTTTCCTCTGTACAATAATAATAAAGATTAACAAGAATTATCTATCAGATTTATGGTAGATGTCCCCACCCACATGCACAAAGCGCTTTGCACCAACCTTCCTTGTTCGTACTGCTAAGGAGTGGAATTCTTTGCCAAAATCTGTATTTCCTGAAGGATATACACTTCCTGAGGTCTTCAAGGAGGAGACCTGGGTGTCTTCAAGGGCCGAGTGAATAGTTTGTTTATGGGACGACGTGTTCCATCGTAGACCGCATCATCGCTTACCACCAAGCGTGATAGTGGTAAACGTCGGCCCAACAAATTTATAAAAAAAAAACAAATATTTCCTAACTATCGTGAGACAATTTACCTAAAAATCAATAAATCAAAGACAAAATCATTTATTTCAATTAGACCAGGAAGGCACTTTTGAACGACGACCTCATCGTTCGCTTGATAAAATTGACGTGTAAAAGTGCTGCCTTGTAGCCTATTTGCAGAAATAAATTCACTTGTTTCACTTGTTTCACTTGTAACGTCAAAACTGAATATTTATATATTAAATAATAAGAAAAATGTTAGTCTGTAGGTCAGTCCTCTAGTGAAGCTATTTGCTCGTTCCAAAGTGTAGATTCCTATGGAGAAGAACGAGCAAGAAACTCAATAGGTTACTCATTTTCAATTATGTTCACAATACAATTTTGGTAACATTCTTTCGTTGAGTTCTATTATGTGAGAACAATGTAACACCAATATTTGGTCAACCGTCTTTACGATAAGGGCATTTGGGGCCCGTACTCAGGACCTCCATCCTCAGGGGCCCCGAAGGACCGATAATTTCTACGACGGACACAGCCGCTACACGGTGCCGGTGCGCGGCAACCGGCTGCCCCGCAAGCCCGCAACGTGTACCGGGTTCGATTCCCACACGTATCAATTCTTTGTGTTACTCACAAATTGTTGTTTCGTATCTGGGTGTCATCTGTATGTGAATTTGTATGTTTGTAAACGCATCCACGATACAGGAGAAAAGAAATCCTAGTGTGGGGCAACGTTAAAAAACAGACAAATAGGTACCAAAAGGGCCCCGAATTTTGTGTACTGAAGAGCTCCAGCTTATTTTAAGACGGCGCTGATTATGTTTAATGATTCAAAATTCAAATGTCGTGATTTCACAATAAGTACCTAAATGTCGGACAGCCATCGTTCGTCACGAATGGGCCGGCTCGACCGGAATCATATGATACCACAGCCTCATAGAAAACCGACGTGAAGCAACGCTTGCGTTGTATTTCGTCTTGTGAGTGAGGTTACCGGAGGCCCAATTACCCTCCCCTTCCCCAATCTCCCCAATCCCTGAATCCCCAACGATCCTCAAACTCCTAATCCCCAAAAGGCCGGTAAAGCACTTGTAACGCCTCTGGTGTTCCAGGTGTCCATGGGTGACGCTGATTGCTTACCATCAGGTAATCCGTCTGCTCGTTTACCGGCTTATGCCATAAAAAAGTAGAGGATTGTGTTTAAGTTGCGTTTATGCGTCATCAGTGTATAGGATTCCTTTAGTTAGGTGATTAATTGTTTAGTGACACATAGGTATTTCATGTTTTGTTTGTCATTTTAGCAGATTACTAGTATTGTGTTTAAAATCTGGATGGGATCGGTTCTTATAAAACACTAGCTTCTACCCGCGACTTCGTACGCGCAATCCCGTTTTCTCCCGTTCCCATAAGATTTTCAGGATTTTTTGTCTATCATAAGAACCTTCTCCAGACAATGACAAACACAACAAAAAAATCAGCCAAGTCGGTCTAGCCATTCTCAAGTTATGGCGTGACAACGGGAAACGGGTTTCATTTTTATATACATAGGTATACATATAGATTTAGCGTCCATATTCTCTAGGTACAAAGATGTTTAGGAAGCGATAACATTGTGTTCGTTATAAAAGAATTTTACATACATATCATCACGCCTACTTCCCGTTTGAGTTAGCAGAGACGCCGTAACGCTATACACTTACCTACTATATTAAAAATATGTATATTATGTTTCAAAACTTTCGGTAGCTATAAATATGTATAATAAATAGTGTCGTTCTTTCAGGGAATCGCCCCACCTGCTTCTATCAATACGCACGACCACTCCTCCACAAGTTCTACCGTCAAACGTACACCTGGGCGATGACGTCGGCTGTGACGTCACGGCCGTACTCACGACCCGTTGTGACGTCACTAGGCTGAACGATGCATTGAGAAAGTTATTCGAAGAAAAGTACGAGGTGAGTTTTTTTTTAATAACAATTTATTTTGTGTGTGATGATGTGTTTAATGTGAAAGTTAATTTGATTGTAACAGAAAGAAAGAAAGAAATGTATTTACTTCCCTATTTAACAATTAGATTTTCGCGAAAATACATGCGTAATGTTTGTAATTTTAAAAATATACTTACGAATAGTGAAAAAGAAAAAAAACAACGATAATAGGGTAGTTTCCTAAATTTTATTTTAATGTCCGTCTGGTAGATTATTTTAAAACACTAGACACGTATTTATTATTTTGTCATAAAATTAAATGCTTTCGGCGATATATTGATTTGAATAGTCGTGTGACGTCACAGCGTGCTACAAAATGTAGCATGTTGACTCCTAAATATAACGCCATTTTATCTAAGTATTGTTACTTTATACGAGAAAATAAAAAAAATAATATTTTTTCATTATCAAACTAATTAGATTTTTTATTTTCTTACCATGGGAACTACCCTATTGAGAAAATCCTAGAATGGACCAGATTTTTTTAAAATAAGTACCTAGTCGGTTGTTTGAAATTACCATTTATATACATATATAGTTCATATAGTATAAAAAATGGATCAGTGGGAAATCAAAATCAACTGCCCAACTACTACGATAAAAAATGTTTATAATTACTAAGTTACCTAATATTTTTCAATATTTTCCTTAAATCTATTTTTAACAAGATTTACTCGAGTTTATTTTTAGTTTTATTATCGGCACGCACCTAAGTAATTTAGATAATCGGTACCTACCTAAATGTGTTTTGTTTGCGAAAATCTAAGAATAAGCAATGATTAATGCCTTGTTTATACCTATGTACTGATGTTATGAGGAAATTAGATTAAGATAAAATCCAATATTATTTTATCTACCTCTTGTACGGCCAGGTGTGCTATTGTGTGTGATATTTTTGTATATTTCTTTACTACAGTTTTCCTTGTTGTTACCGCCCGAATACTGAAAGGCTTTTTTTAAGGGGGGAAAATCATTGTATGACTGCTCCCGCCTGGGTGAGGCGGGAGGGAGTGTCAGACTCTTACTGACTAAAAACCACCCCGTTCCTTCTCCTGCACGTCGAGTCGGAGCCCCGGTTACCCGTTAGGTTCTCCGCGACATACTGAAAGGCTACCTACCCAATTGAACGTCGCGCTTAAATACCTCTATAGGTACTATTTCTGTAATTATAAATTCTTTGTAAAATGACAACGGCACGATATTTAATTTCAACACTACACTACCCAGTCCATTATATACCTTATTTCCGATGTTTAGAAACTACTTTTGTATGAACAAATGTTGTGGATTTTTATAATCGGGGATTAGGAAGTGAAAGTTAAGTAGCCTTTCAGTATTCGGGTATAAGTCATTTCATTATCCGCGGAGGACTTAAACGGGTTGCGGGCTCCGGCTCAAAGTGCAGGAGTAGGAACGGGGTGGTTTTAAGTCAGTAAGAGTGTGTGTGACATTCCCTCCCGCCTCACTCGGGCGGGAGAAGTTATTCGATGATATAATGTACTTAATATGTATGTTATGTAATGAAAGGTTACACACTACGGTTTTAGGAACTCCATACAAGTAAGGTTATAAAAGTAATTAATGTTAAGATTTGGATTGAAATCGGTTATTTATTTCGACAGCTCGTGACAGACTAGTGCTGGGGTACCTACTTACGTGTAGAGTGTCCTTTGTTTACAAGCCCCTTTACGCACTAGCGATCAACCGCGCGGCTAGCCGCTCCCTCCGGTTGACCGCTTCGCTTTTCCAATTTAATATGAATAATATGCAACTACTAGGTATGGCAACCGCGTCTGTTAATATGTCGCCTAGGCGGTCAACCGCTAGTGCAGAAGGGGGTTTAGAGTTTGCCATAATATTCACATCTGACAGACTGGTTGAATATCTTAATTTATATGAACCGTTACTGTATTTCAGTTGCTATTGGATTTAGAGAAAGAATTGGAACTATCGCCAATGAAAACAACGGAAAATTCTAAACAAGTTAAAGATACGGTAAGTTGAGTATATATTTCGTAGACCTTTTGACGTATTTTGTACCTATGGACCATAATAATGTCAAATTTCTATTTTCCAAGCTTGTGTATAACTTGCAATGTATTGGATATGTATGTGTGACGTGTGACGTGTGTTTGAAGTGGAATCTTGCAACTATATTTTGAAGCTGAAATCTCCAACCGATTGACCTAAAATTTTATTTACCTTAACGTGCTTAAAATATTGTGTTTTCGAAAGTTTTTATACTATACTAGCGACCTGTCCCAGCTTCGCGCGGGTGCAATATGCATGTAATATACATATAAACCTTCCTTAAGACTCACTCTATCTATTAAAAAAAAACGCATCAAAATCCGTTGCGTAGTTTTAAAGATCTAAGCATACATAGGGACAGACAAACGGCGGATAGCGACTTTGTTTTATACTATGTAGTGATTTGTTAAGTAAGTAGCCTAATGTATCGCCAGAATTGCCGATAATACCTACCTATTATAATTTATTGTGACAGTGATTGCAATTTGAAAACTGTCAATATGAAATTAAATATCTAATTATGAGGGTAGTTGAAAATTTTCATAGTTGTCACTGTTGTGTAGGACGAAGACCAGAGGTTCTCGCACCCAGTCGAAGTGAGGAGACGTAAACATTCAGGTACCTAATTATGTGTGTAAATAAACGTAATCAGACTCATACCTAAGCTAAGTACCTAACTGAGAAATAGCTATGTAGATAGATTAGTTTTGTAACGAAATCTATATATATAAAAGAAAGTTGTGTTAGTTACACTACTTATAACTCAAGAACGGCTACATCGATTTGGATGACAATTAGTGGGGAGATAGCTTAGAACCAGGAGACGGACATAGGATACTTTTTCATCGATTTTTTTTTACTTTTCGCCGAAAATCACGAACGGGAAGTGGAAAGAACGGGATTGCGCGTACGAAGTCGCGGGCTGAAGCTAGTATATAATAATATAGCCTTTCATTTAGATTTGTGTTACAAAAATAAAATACATTAAGAACTTAAATCTAAAAATCTGTTTGCCAGTCGGCAAAGACTTCCGATCTTTTCCACTCACGGCTATCTTGGGCCACTCTGTTAAGTAAAGATATAGGTACATATAAATATTTCATTCATTCAAACAAGGTGTGTACGTGTTGTTCAATTAGTTATAGGTAATTTGAAGTTGCATACTGTGAACTTGCAAAATAATTATTATGATTGGTATGCTTTCGAACCGTTTGGGGTTGAAACTTCAGGGCCGTGGCGCCCAAGTGCACATCTTCTTTACAAAGAAATTGTAAGGAGGATGATTGATATTTCAGGTGATCGAAGGGCTGGTTACTACCTTGGGTAAAGGTTAAGCATTGCCATTCAACGTGGCAATGCTGCCAGTCTTTTGGGCACCCTAACTCACGGTAGCGATGAGGAAATTGTTTTCTTAAGGCATCAAGCCTTAAGATAATATTTTTATTGTTATTCTTTTTTGGAGTAAAGACATATTTTAGTTTTTAGTTATTTATATTTTAAAGTTGTATATTATTATGTTATGGAAATTATGGTTATATGATTCCGTTTTGTGTAGGTTACATAGTGAAGCCACGACAACCTCTCTCTTGCATGTCTCCATCTACTGCTTCAACCAGCTCGTTGGCACAGGTCAGTGGTTTTACCCTTTAAAATACATCTAGTCATAGTCACTATAGTTTTATTTTTAAATATGCAAGTAATCATGATCAGCAAGGCATACGTGATGCCTCTGGTGTTGCAGGTGTAGTAGTACATAGGCTACGGGGACCGCGACCGCTTACCATCAAGCATCATCAGGGTGTAAACTTTGCTCGTAGGAAAAGATCTAAATAGATACTTAGGTACCTAATACCAAAATTGTGGCCCTATAGGTAATGCCAGATGCCTATTATTATGTGATTAAATGAGCAGGGTGTTTAGTATTTAAGGGCTCGTTCACAAAACTGCGATGCGACGTCCCATCGCAAAAAAGGGCGAGTTCCCTCTACGCATCGCATTTAAATTGATTGAATGATTGCGAATTGATTCGCATCGTGCATCGAAATGTTATCTTCCCAAAATCTTCTTTGTTTCTTTTTCTTGTATCTCCTAAGCAATACCAAAAGCGTATACTTCTTTTTATTAGCCATGTCACGACCTAGTTTTGACGGTGGTTGACGGTCGTCGAAGGAATGGTCACCCTGGGAGACGCCTTGTCGCACGACATCGCATCGCAGCAATTCGTGTCGTAATTTTCTGCGTTGCGAATTCGCATCGCATCACAGTTTTATGTACGAGCCCTAATACATATTCTTAGGTAATTATTCTTATTTTAATTGCATATACGTAGACTGCAGTGGGATGATCATGGCTGAAAATAAAAGGAAATAAATTAATAATACTAGTACGTGGACAAAGGCTGTTAGTACTATTAATTAGTAGGTAACTACTAGACTAAATCATTACTAGTTTTCCTTATAATAAACCTAGGAAAACCATCCACTAGTATTTAAGTGCCATAGAATAACTATATTCACTTGTCCATAATTTAATTTAATATTATCTCCTTCCAGCTACATGAAAAGCTAGCAGCGTTACCTAGATACAAATATGATAAAGAGCCAGTAAGTGTCTGTGCTCCACCAGACCTCTCCGTAGTCACTGAAGTCAGTGAAGCTGACGACAGGCAAAGTTTAAACACCACATTCAAAAGCAAACCTTACGGTGTTTGCTATAAAAACCTAAATACACTAGACCAAAGAAAATCACAAAGCGATCCAGAATCTTCTAGAAAACGTAAAGGCAGAAGATTATCTCCTATCGTTAACGAAGATACGACCAGTTGTTTGTTAGTGGCAACTGTCGGATCAGCTGATGATTCAGTGATAAATGATACCGTAGAACGTCTGTCAAAATCTAAAGATTATAATCCCGATAATATTGTTGATTTGTTAGTCCAAGAAGCTTTACAAGCGAAGCAAGATGATAAGTATAGATCTGATAGTGGAATAAACACTGGAGATAAGAAATCTCAAGATGATCATGAGAATACTGACACTATCGATGCTACGCCAGAAATTGATCAAATAAAATTGAGTAAGAAGAAGCCTAAAGTGGTGTCTTCAACGTCTGATGAGTCAAACACGGAAGCTATAAATGAAGCGCCGTGCTTTGTCAACACGCGAAGGAAAAATAAGAAGGATACAAAAGATCCAGCGCCTAGAAACTCATTTGATGAACAGGTAGTTGAAGAATTCTTTTCTCAACATTTCACAGAGAACAAAGCAGGCGAAATTATTATAAGTCCTACGCTAGCTAAAAAAATTAATGAAACTAGTTCGGAAAGTAGCGATAATTTTGGCGAAAATTTCAATTTGATTAATGGAGATATAGAGGAGGATATTGTACCGTATGATTTTAATAATATTGAAGTTTTAGAATGTCTGAATAACATGGTAGATAGAGTCTGCAATGAATTTAACAAATGCACGGAATATTTAAATAAAGACGAAGGTATTACAGCAGATTTGAATGATACTATAGAAGAAGAATTACCTTTAAAAGATATTATAAACAAAATACACAACATTGATTCTACAAAAGCAGCAACTGTGAAGAAATCCAAAAAGAAACCTAAATTGAAATATAAGATCACTCCTAAGAAGGCTAAAGCTCGAGCGTCTAGGCGTAAAAATAAACTTGAATTAGAGTCTGCGTCTAAAATGTCCACTATAATTGAAGATCAAGGATTAGAGAGTGCTGCTGAAAACCTCGATAAGGAAGAAGACGCAATTAAAAAACCTGAGAAAGAAATACGAGTAGATATAGTAGATGAGGCAAAGGCTCCTACTGACAAAATTGATACAGAAACACCAGTAACACGAAAAAAACGTAAACTCTACTCGCCTAAAGATGAAGGAGCAACTTCAGAGTCTCCTCAACCAGAAAATCCAATCACATTAGAACCAAATAAAATAAAGAGAACGTCTAAAATGACGGCTACTTCAACTTGCTACAAAGAGATTGAGAAAGAACGGCAAAATCGTGTGAGGATGCCAAGGTCAAGGAAATCTAAGGTCACTGACCCACCGTCACCAAGAACTAAGAAACTAAACGATATGTTTGACAAAGTAAAAGAATCAGCTGACAGCGAAAAAGTTAAGTTAGCTGATAAAACTTTCGAAAAAGACGTTTACAACTTTACCAGTGATAGCGACGATGACTTTAAAGTTAAAAAGATAGAAATATCTAAGAGGAATAGCACTACTACTATTGGAAGTTTTGAATCTACACTTTCAAAGCGTGGACGATCCGTCAAACGTATAAATTATATTGATAATAAGTCCTCAGATGAAAGTAATAAGGTTAAACGTAAGCTTACTAGAAAAACAAGAAGTAGAAAGAGAGCTAATGCGGAACAAAATGATTTAATTGATGAAAGAATGAGAAAAGCTACAGATGTACTGAATACGTCCATTTTGGTTGAAAAGACGGAGCCTACAGCGACTAATCCTATTCTAAATCTAGCTAAAACACCAGAAATGGAAATGGTAGAAGAGAAAATTAATCATTCGGAAGGTAAGCAGAGAAAGAAGGGAAAGAAACCTAAAGTTGAGACGACAGAATCCAAACGTTCCAAAAAAGTACTGAATAAGGCCGTAGTAGAAAAAGTTAGGAACTTTGATGACGACAATAGAACTGATAGTCCTTTACCAGGCCTACTTGTGGAACCAGCAACTACAATTAATGATGATACAAACGAATTATCAATAATGGTCGATAAATTCAAAAAGATTTATCAGGAAGGTCCAGAAAACTATATAAATGAGACTAATACTACCCAAAACTTGCTCTCAGATGTCGAAAGATTACGAAATGAGGAGATTACTGAAGAGTATATTGAAATCGAGGACCAATTCCAAGGCCAAGAATTTGAAATAAAACCGAAGAAACGTGCGTCTAGGAAGAAGAAAATTAATACTACTTTAATCAGAAATATTAAGAAAGAAAGAGTTTCAGAAGCGAGAGAATTGAAAGAAAATGTCGATGTAAAAATTTTAGACGAAACTGAGGCTAAATCTGAGAAATCTATAGCGACCATAGGTATAACCGGACATGGAGAGTTAGACGAAGAACCACCAAGTCCTAAACTTATAAACGAGAGATTAGAACCACGGAATTTAGAAGTTGAAGACTTAGATACTTCCATGAAAGATTACTTCGAGAAACTTACTAAAGAAATGAATGAATCTAACAATAGAATATCTAACAGCTCTAATGAAGAGAATATTTGCAAAATTAGTGTAAAATCTAAGGGTAGTGGTAGTCTTAAGTCTAAATCTCTTGTAGTATCTATAAAGAGAATGTCATCCGAAGATATCAGTAGATGGTTGCCTTCAAGACGCAACTCTGATTCAGACGACTATTATAGTGGTAAATCTGTCAAAAACAATAATGAAGAAACAGCTGTAGCGATTATTGAAAGTGAAGGAAAAGATAATGATATTGATGAGGTTACAGAAGTTAATACAAAGAGACAATCAATGAGACTTATTTTCAAAAACTCACAGCCTGTTAAAATTAGCGACAGCGCGGAAATAAAAGATGATTCTGATTCGGACAGCTACCACAATACTCCGAAACACAGTAGTAAACTAAGAGCCAAATCGAAAGTTCCAGAAACCACAAAGAAACTTGAAACTATAGATGAGCCCGTTACGAAAGTTAAAACAAAACACACCTCTTTAATATCCCCTATAAAACTCTTCGATGAATTAATAAGCAACGCTGACAAACAATCAGAAGTCACTCTCTCAGATGATGAAGAATATATGAAAGATATAATAAATACTTTAGCTGAGAAAAAGAAAACTAATCTTACTAAACCTCAAGTCTTAAAGGCTAAATCAATAAGCACAGTTTCAAGTCATTCTAAGATAAGTACTTCTACTAAAATAGAAGATTCTAGAAAGAGGAGACTGGAGGAAGAAAGAGAGGATTTGATAAAGAAGAGAAAAGTTGAGGTGAATAATAATGTGGAATGTGTATCGAGTGGTCTGACTGTGTCTAGTGTTGACGAGTGGTTCAAGAGGATCGAACCGGAGGGCAGCAGAGGTGAGCATCTTTTACTTATGTTTATAAGGGAGGGGGAGGGGTAGAACAAATTGGTTGCTATTGTAGCTTATCTATGTTCTAATTAATTTAGTCAGTATTTTTCGCCAGTTTTATTATGAGTCCTTTGTGTACAGTTTACTTTCTAGTGTCTTTGAACCATAGGTATTCAGTCTAAAGGCAAAACTCCGTTCTGTGATTCACGCTTCTAACTGAATTCCCTCCTGTTACGTTGACTATTTTACTTTGATATATATCTATAATTAAAAGCAGGTGCGTTAGCGTACCTGGATACTATAGTGTTAAATTATATACATATTTTCAGATGTATTTCATTTTTCATATGTACATATTTTCAGCTGAAATGATAAGTTCGTCGATGAGACATAGCTTGCAGGGCGTGCTAGAGAGACTGGATACTACCCTCGTTGAGATACATCGGAACACTAGCAAGAAGTACGTATAATTAAATATTATGTATTAATATTTATTAATCACTGTTATAAAGCTGTTTGTATTATAACTTTCGTGAGACATAATAAATTAATTAAAAATCGACTAGTTTCAAACCATTCTAGAGGCTCATATTCATAAGCAACATTCCGTGTTCCTGTCATCTAAAATTTCGTGTAACTACTTGTTTGTTATGCAATAAAACATGGTCTTTACTTTTGACAACAGAAAAGCTATCAGAAATATATTTTGTTTACAGATTCGTGAACCTATTCGTGAACGCTCAGAAGCAGTTGCTTGACCTGAAGGAGCGTCGGCAAAGCATGTACAAACAAGTGGCGTCCGATATACTCAGCGAAGTCGTTAAGATTATGGATCAGAAGTTTGCTGATCTAGATGAAAGGTCAGACCTACTTGAATATTTAAAGTTAAATAGCCTCTTTCAGTTGAGAAGATGCCAGTTCTTGAGTAATATGTGACTGCTATGAATGTAGTGTCAGGGCCAGAAATACCTTTCTGTTATAATGAATTCGTAACATACAATAATTAGAAAATCTATGGAGTCTTTTTTATGTACATGAAATTCTATCTTTACAATTTGCGGTTAGGACCTACTTTTGACTTTCTTTTATGCAGCATTGACGTGACACACTGGGTATAGCCAGTCCCAGTCCAATGGTGGTCTAATCACCCTTGATTTAGCAGGTATCCCTCTTGTCCCCAGATCGAAAGAATTAGACGGCACTTTCATGAAACAGCTCAAGGAGCAGGCTTCAGAGCTGATTCGAGAAGATTGCAAGCAGAAGCGAGTGATGGTTCGTCTGCTGAAGGAAGATGTTCAGGCAGTCGTCGACCACTTGGAGAGGCAGGCTCTCTGACTTCAGGAACAGGTGAGATAATACCTATTACCTATATGATACTTTGATCTGTGAAGTTTATTTCAAAGGGTTTTCAAACATAATAATAAAATACTAATATTATTCATTTTGTTCCCTGAAAGTTTAGGCAGAGGTCCATATCTTAATGCTAGATGTACTGTCATCAGTTATGTATTCAAATGTGCGATGGAATAGAGGGTTAGGTGAAACTAAATCTCGGGAAAATATTTGAAAATAGATTCGACCTTATAATGGGGGCTACCGTATTTTTGGTCACCAATGACATACATGTAGCAAGAGGCTATTTTATACAAATCCTGCAGCTGTTCAATATTGAACGTTCAATGGTGTGATATTAACTAATTCCCTATTGGACGAAAAACAAGAGGTTCACACTAGCGCCATCTAATGAGCAAAAATACTGTAGCCACCATTCTAATGCCAGGAAACTTTGCACAGTTCCTTCTTTGGCAACCGAGTCTCCAAAACGGTGTTGTCGACTATACTGCCAGTATCAAAATTTAAGTTTATGTTTTATTGTTTGTAGGTATTTTTGACATAATTGATATAATGGGTAATATTGATATGGTGGACGTCCCGCACCTGTAATATTGTTATTGAGTCACACAACAGATAAGAGATGAATAATATCTACAACACATAGATACATTGATTAGATAGGTATGAACCTTCTAATACTTTCTGAGAATGCGAAACTGCTTTACTCAGGTTTCCACAGAATCTGATAACGTTATTTTGTCTTTCTTTGTTATATAATGTATATGCGTCACGCTGTAATAATTTTTAGTCAAAATCAACTAAAATGTTTTGTAATCTGTAGTCAACTTTTACAGCTGTGTGTCACTAACTAAATGATTTGAAGTAATCGTAATAACCGATAATTGAAATGCGCTTACGGATGTTGAGTGTCATTTCGATGCAGAAAATGACTCATAGTTTTTTTTGTTAAAATAACTCCTTTTCTAGTAAGATATGACGGAATGCCATTACTCAGGCAGGACCTCCAGTTAAATGAATAGGTATTACAGAATTTACAGCTGGTTTCGTCATACTTCATAGTCGTATTATTACTGCCTGACTGCAATGTTGGTGCGGTGGCTGGGCAACCGGCTGCCATGCAGCGTGCTGCGGGTTCGATTCCCGCACGGAACAACACTTTGTGTGACCCACAAACTGTTGTTTCGGGTCTGGGTGTCATGTGTATATGAATTTGTATGTTTATAAACGCACCCACGACACAGGAGAAAATCCTAGTGTGGGGACCGTATTTTAACTCGTCGAGTACCGGTTTTATAGACACAATTAAAGAACAATAGGTCGCGGTCACCGGTGACCGCTTGGTGTTTGACAGTTTAAATAACAAAATATTATAAAAAAGAAAATATCCCTAAGGCAGACTATGCAAGTGCCAAGGGAGCTAGGTTACAGAGGAGCGCCGCGAGGCGCACGCACCCAACTGGCCATATAGAGTGGGCGACAGCACCAAAAAAATTAGGCTAAATAGCCCCTGGAAACTACGAAGGCCAGATAAAACTTTTAGGTATATAGGTAAAAGCGTTCACACCATGGTATTGGGGCATGCACGGTAGGACTAACAGAGGGCAACAGCTGATTCTCCCCAGTAGATACAGTACAGTTGTGTCAGTAAATCTATATAAATCGAACATCTACAATTAATTAGTCTTCTTTTTGTTTTCAGAAAAAGAAGTTAGTCTGCCAAACTAGATGAAAAGTGGTCGGTCCATAATAATATTTGAACATTATACAAGTTGTAAAATTTACTCCATTGTAAATGTATACTTAATTATATTTTTGTAAGAATTGCCATTAAAACAATGATCTCAATAATTTCATACGCTACCAATAAATATTAGACGTAATTTCGTAAATGGAAGATTGTTGAAAATAACGAATCTGCCAAAATTAATTGCAATTGTTTATTTCACCATATTGCATGAAACTGTTGATATGTGGAAATGTCTAACTACTGTTATTTATTTTTATCCTCCCCTCTCTAAACGGCACGTGTTAATAATTGTTAATTCTAATTTGTTAATTTTATCAAATGTTTAATAATTTGTTAATGTGTTATAGTAACACCAATGGTGATTGTTAAATTCGTTTTTTTTTAATTTACATTTAAGCAATTCATATCAATAAGGTATGCAGTTTTCAGTTGTAATGTTTTTAAATAAATAATAATACTATTTTAAATTTGCATGTTTTATTAAATATTAACTTAATTATACTAAATAACAACCAAAATTATCACTTAATTTAAAATATTAGGTTTTAGTCGATTTAAAATAGTGATAGGTAATAGTGAATAAGTTGGTATGTCCTTATAGGATATGCAATATATGTGTAAGGACCCAGATAACTAAGATTTTAACAATGATGGCTAAAATATTATTTTGTTTGTTATACAAGTTGTTATAATAATGGAATAAATTATGTTCCTAATGCATGAATGACAAAATGTAGTGCTAAGGTTTGTATTTTATAAAATATTTAGGTAAAGTAAGTCTTATCACATAAATCAGTATAAAATAATGAGACTTCATAAAGCTCATAAGGACTTAGGAGTTGACATTTAAATTAAATAAGAAGGGTAAAAAATAGTGTCCTTTCGAAATTGATATTTATACTATGTGCTTATATTCTATACTATAAAAGACAATGATATTATTTGGGCAGAAGAATAAAGACGGTCAAATTATGTGTTTCGAGTCTTGCCTAAGGCCTAAGGAATAAAAAAGTATAATATTCAATGTCATAAAATATTCAGTTCCTGTTTATATTATTAATTATTAACAACTACTAGCGATGTCATTGTTTATTTCATTTTAACTACAGAAGATTAATATATATTTAAGATATTGTAAAATTTATATTGTATTCTTAGGTACCATTATTTATTCTAGTTTAAAGTTAGGTACTGCTAAACAAGTTATAAAAATCTTATAAGTAGGTATGTATTGATGTCTTTGACTTATATTATTGTAATTCCTTTTCTGCCACCATTAAAAGACATATTATTATTATTAACAGACTTTAAAAAAGAGGTTTGTAGATATTTACGTCTTTTCATTATACACAATACTTTCTAAATATTTTCCTATATAAATATTGCATATGACCTTTATAAGTGTTTAAGTATTGTATTATACATATAAAAAGTCAAATAAAATAACAATAATTGTAGGCAGTGATATATACAGGGTCGTATTTTCCCTAAGGCAAACGAGGAAAGTGTCAAGGCGCCGGGTTACAGAGGGAAGCCATAACACGCGCGTGCCCAACTGCCAATAGTGACGGCGGCGCCAAAAAGGAAGAAGACGCCTATGTATGAGGTGCTTGCCTAGGACGCTGTCTAGGTTTTATTCGCCTCTACATACATATGTACTAAAAACATTAAACAGCATATTTATATGGAACATTGATGAATCATTACTGTTGCTGTTTGCACTCATAACGATTACTTACATTATCAATTGATTAAATTACATACTTATAAATAGCAATCTAATTATGACTGATAATATTTATGTACTCGATATTTTTGATATATTTTTAGTCATATCTTATTTGGTAGATAAGTCTATAATTATCTATAATTTCATAGCTCACTAGCTATGAAATTGGGAATTAGTAGTTATAAATCAAATAATGTGATAATAGCGCTTTTGACTGTTTTCGGCCTGGGGACTTGAGCGCAGTCTAATACTATCCAACATTGAAGGTATAAATCATTCTAAACTTTCGTATAAACCAAAATTAACTTCATAATACTTCCAGCAGCTTCTTAGGTAGATTAAATAGATGAAAACATATTATATACCTTCATTGATTCTTGAATTTAGAACATTACAGGCAAAGTGGTTGTATTTTTTAACAGTTTCTTTCATAGTTATAGTAAAAAAAAATACAGTTTGTGCTTGATAGGCAAAGACAATAAATATCTACCTATGAACTTCTCAGATTTAGGTTATTTACAAATACATGCAAATAAGTCTCATTTAGGTAAAGTAATCAGTTTATACAGCTTTTCTTCATACACTCTGATGAATTACGGACTTTACTTGCAAAAAAAAAATCCAGTATCTTCATAGTTTCTGCACAAATTACTAGAGTTGAAACACTAATCACTATGCACTATCACTATCACTTAATCATCGGAGTCCGAGTCCACTTCGCACTGAGTGCTGGTGTCCAGGTACTAGGAGTCGTCCTGCGAGGTCGCCACTTGAGCAAGGAATACCTGTTGTTGAGGCTGGCCTTGTGATGATACCTGTGAATTGAGTTAGGATATCAAATTAGCGTAACGTTGCACTTTTTCATGGCCAAAGTGCAAATTGCAGAGGTGCAAATTGTAGCTACACAGTCTAACGACTCTTACCAAGTGTGGCTTGAGATTACGAAAGGACTACATATTTAATAGAGATGGGACAGCAGCGTTCTCTAATAAACTAGAGGCCATAGTAGGACTTTCGATTACCTACTTTAAACGTAAAAGAAACTCATACTACGCCCTCTAATTCTTTTTTTTTTGTAGGATAAGCAGGTAACCGAGCAGACGGATCACCTAATGGTAAGCAATCGACGTCGACGCCTGGAACACTAGAGGCATTACTAGTGCGTTACCGGCCTTTTGAGGATTGTTGGGGATTCAGGGATCAGGAAGATTGGGGAGGGGGGGGGGGGTCATTGGGTCACGCAAGAGTTGTTTTCCGTCGGTTTTCTGTGAGGCCGTGGTATTATAGTACTGCTGATTCTTTTGAACTGTGATTTCTAACCCACTTGCCAGGCATGGAAATGGCAAACCACCTAATCTTGTAAAATAAAACCGTTATCATATCGTACATTAGTCTAGTTGTTACCTGAATAATCTGTGGCGACTGCTGGGACTGTGCCTGTATTATGATCGGCTGGTTCGGGTTATTTTGCACCTGCAGGCGGATCATGTTCAATTGCGCTTGTGTTAGCTGGATCTGGAATAATAAGTAAGTGGTATTTTGTATTTCTTGACTTCTCAAGCAGAGGCAGGCCTAGCACGACTTTGTTTAACGTTTAATCAGAGGCAAAATTATGTATTATGTCAGAGGGCAAAACGTCATAACGTGTCGATTGCGCAAACTCGTATTAGGCTGTCTCTATCTCTTTTATCCTGATCAGAACGGTCTAATGATTCTGACCGATATTAACCAAATTAACAGGAATGAAATATACAAGGAGCAATTTTTGTAAATCGTAATTTTGAGAGTTCACCAGTTTTATAGCCCTCAAAATTAAGAATTCTTTTTACATGGTTAATTTTCAATTTGTAAAGAACATAGTTCAGAATTGGTTTTGCTTGCAAGTGTAAGATTATAACACCTTTCCCTAGCTTCGATACCCAGGTCGGGTATTTTTTTTTTAAGGGGGGAAAATCATCGAATGACTACTCCCGCCTGGGTGAGGCGGGAGGGAGTGTCAGACTCTTACTGACTAAAAACCACCCCGTTCCTTCTCCTGCACGTCGAGCCGGAGCCCCGGTTACCCGTTAGGTTCTCCGCGACTCCACCCAGGTCGGGTATAGTACAATAGTAGTGTAATATTACAATACTACTTGTATTGTGTAATTGACTTACTGGCAACTGCTGGAGCTCTCCGGATGGAGTAAGGACCTGTTGTACTAATGTGACTGGTTGCTGAGACACCGCCACGTTACTTGATGACGTCGACGGTGTGGCTGTTGATGTCTGTAACATAATATTAAATTGTTTATATTTGAACTGAGTTAACCTCTTTTTTGTATTATTAGGTACTGCCAGCGACTTCGCCTGTGTTCTCGTGGGATATTCGACACCCATAATCTAGCCCTGTGTCAAATTTCATCCCGATCCCTTCAGCCCTGATTGAATACAAACCTCACACAAACTCTCAAATCTATACATAGGTATAATAAAATCGTAGGAATGTGAAAACTGCACATTAAATATTTTTTTTTAAAGAATGCTTGAGGCGTGATCTACAAGTGATACCGAAGCTAAAACTATGGTTTTTAGAATTTTTGTCTGTTTGTCTGTATGTATGTCCGGGCTAAACTCAAAAAGTAGGTACTGTATGGATTTACTTCGAATTTTGCATGAATATTACTAAAAGGTCGGGTCAACATATAGGCTACATATTATCACGCTATCACCTACGGAGGAGGAGCTGTGAAACACTATTCCACGTAGACGAAGTCGTGGGCACAGCTAGTTTATAATAGATCGTAAACAATGACGGGAATTCGTATTTTACGATCTTCTCTCGCAATTGTTTTACAAGCTTACTCGATTAGATTCAATTTCAACGTTGGCTGCGCGATGCTATTCATGACTATGAGCTCCTAATATAGTTTGAAAATAGTCGAGTGATCTCTAAATAAAGGTATTTTATAATTATTAAATAAACAAGTTTATTTACCTGTGTCACTTGTGCACATGGCTGTAATACGATCTGTGGCTGTGCAGCGTTCTGTAATGCAGCTTGATGGTGAGCCACCTGGAAATATGGACACAGATATTTGTTTAAATAGAAGTTTATTTTGACTTCTTCGTTGGTCGTCACAAGTTACGGCTGCGACTGCCGAGGTAATGCGTTACAGGTAGGTAAGATTTTTGAGTCGGACAAAGTGTTATTGGGGGTTTTGTCGGCTTTTCGTAACTCAGCCATAGCATGAAGTGTTTTTTCTCATGAATGACTTCTCCAGAGAGGCAGTGCCAGACTCTTACTGACTAAAAACCACCCCGTTCCTACTCCTGCACTTCGAGCCGAAGCCCCGGCAACCCGAAAGTCTTCCGCGGCTCAGTAATAGCATGAAGTCTGGAATTATGATTAATGTATGGAGATAAGTTAGGGTTGGTCTAGTAAGAGGAGCCGGTGCCTACTTCAAGTGCGGGTGGTGGCCACCGGGGAGGTATTAGTGAGGTAAAAATCCCACACTCCCAAGTCTTTTTCCCCAAAAAGCTAGGCGCCTTAGTAAGGCTTCGCCCCGTCAACAAAAAAAAAGGCAGCGTAGAATGTCAACCTGCAAGGTGGACACTGGACAGATGACCTGCTGATTAAGGTCGCAGAGAGCCGCTGGATGCAGGTGGCTTCAAACCGGCCTATCTGGAAGTCATTGGGGGAAGCCTATGTTCAGCAATGGACGTTCTATGACTGATATGCTAATGACGGAGATAAGTTACTTTTTGACGTTAAAAAATGCGTCTTTGCTTTGGTCTAAGTAACTGAAATAAATGTCGACTTCGCAAAAATTGTTCTCCAGACGGTTTACTCTTCCCTGAGCACACGGTGGAACACACTGTAGCGGAATGCCCTGCGTGGGCTGAGCACCGCCTTGCCCTCAGGGAAGTGATCAGCGATGGCGACCTCTCGCGTCCGGGCCTAGTGCAGGCCATGATGCGGAACGAGGGGGACTGGGATGCCGTCTCCTCCTTTTGCGAAGCAGTCATGCTAGCTAAGGAGGAGGCGGGACGCGTGAGGCAGCGAAGCGCTGCCTCCTCGCAACCCAGCCATCGCGAAGGACACACCGGGCGTCGGGGATCGCGGGACGATCTCCGGCCACCGTAAGCGCGGGCCTGCGGACGGCGAGCATGGGTGGCTCCCCGTCCGACCAGAAACAGACCCGAGCATACGGGCGTCGCGTTCCGCGCGCGCCTAAAAGAGCCATCAGACCACCACAGATGGGGCCCAATAGGGCCGATGCAGATTCGGAGTCGCGGAGAACCTAACGGGTAACCGGGGCTCCGGCTCGATGTGCAGGAGAAGGAACGGGGTGGTTTTTAGTCAGTAAGAGTCTGACACTCCCTATCGCCTCACACAGGCGGGAGCAGTCATTCGATGATTTTCCCCCCTTAAAAAAAAGACGGTTTACTCTTATCTAGTCTTCGAAAGTTACCTGGTCGATGTGGCTGCTTCGTGGCGCGTGGTCGTATCGAGGTTTGTTGGGTTTGACTTCCTGCCGAGGCACGATGTCGATCAGGAAGTCGAACTGATCGCACTTCGATATCGCCATCGCTATGTCGTTGCGCTGTAATATTGAGAAAATTATTAAGTTTTTTCCTATAAAACGTGGTGTAAAGATTTTCTTCAGTGTTGTGTGTACCTATATTTACAATTACTTTCACATAATTTACATCGCACTCAGACCCAGAACAACCGTTTTTTTATGGCATAAGCCGGTATACGAGCAGACGGATCACCTGATGGTAAGCAATCGGCGTCGCCTATGGACACCTGGAACACCAGAGGCGTTACAAGTGCGTTACCGGCCTTTTGGGGATTAGGAGTTTGAGGATCGTTGGGGATTCAGGAATTGGGGAAGGGGAGGGTAATTGGGCCTCCGGTAACCTCACTCACACGACAAAACACAACGCAAGCGTTGCTTCAAGTCAGTTTTCTGTGAGGCCGTGGTATCACTCCGGTCGAGCCGGCCCGAGTCGGAGTGTAAAAAAAGCGTCCCGTGCCCAGCAGCTCATCACCCACTCAGTAGGCTGCGATTTCACGTTAAAATGATCTCATTTTTTAATGTTTGTAAAATCTTAGAAGTCTCATTGATCCGGTGGTCGCCGGGTCGACTACCAAACCCTTGTTCTAATCACGTTAAACGCCATGGGGGTCACCGGTGACCGGCGTTAGCGGAGGATTTACCTTCAACAGTTTTTTATTGGCAGTCAGAAGTCTTCTATGAAAAAGTTCCATTGAGATTTTCAGTACAATTTTAAGAAAGTGGGTATGTTTTGTGTTGACTGCCTCGTTGTCCGAGTGGGCGCAAGTACGACTGCCAGGCAAGGGGTCACGGGTTCGATTCCCGGGTCGGGCAAAGTATTACGGGGTTTTAAAAAAAAATAGTAGTAGCATGGAGTCTGGAATTGTGCCCGGTATATGGCAATAGGCTCAACCCCTATTACATGGGACTCATAACATAAAAGTGAAAAGTGGGTGTTACATTGAGCAATTTCACCAAGTGCCGAATGCGCACCTCTGCCTACCCCTTCGGAGATAAAAGGCGTGATGTTATGTTATGTTTTGTGATGTAATTTTTCGCATTTAAGTCTAGTTACCTGCAAAGTCCTTCTTTTATTATCCTCAGTATGTGCCCATGCCCTAAGCGTTAGCTCATGTATGAAGATTTCAGCGGCCTTCGCGAACAACACGGGGGCCTCAGCTGAAATCATCTTCACTTCTTCATCCAATTTCATTATCTTCTTTATGCGGGCGAGAGGCAATGCTTGGGATTTGAAGTCGTCCTGAAAATATTACCACAAATAATCACCATCGATAAATGTTGGGTTTGGACCAAAACGTATAATTGACTGTACGGTTGGTGTGGTGGCTGGGCAACCGGCTGCGGTGCAACGTGTCGCAGGTTCGACTCCCGCGCGGAGCAACACTTTGTGTGATCCACAAATTGTTGTTTCGGGTCTGGGTGTCATGTGTATGTGAACTTGTATGTTTGTAAACGCACCCACGACAGGAGAAAATCCTAGAGTGAGGCAAAGTTTAAAAAAAAAAAATTAAACAAATCGAATTGTGTTCACGAGTGGATTTTACAGATATCTTCATGATACGCAGTCAGTTAGCGTTCGTATTCCATCCATCGTGACGAGGATTCAATAGGGTAGTTTCCTAAATTTTATTTAGATGTTCGTCTGGTACATTAATTTAAAACTTTAGACACGTATTTTTTCTTTTATCACAGAATTAAATACTTTCGACGATACATTAATTTTAAAAATTTTGTGACGTTACAGCGTGTCACATTTTGTAGCACGTTATGACGTAACGACCTCCCACTCCTAAAGTTAACGCCATTTTATCTAAGTTTTGCAACGAAGAAAATAAAAAAATACGTGTCTAATATTATTGCATTATCTAACAGACGGTACTTTCTGGAATTCCTATGGGACATGGAATTATCGTAAAGCACGCTGAACTAAGTTTTGTTCTATAAATGATCGTTAGTATTAAACTTGATACGTACTGCATTAACCTTGCTGATGTCTTCAGTAACTTTACACCAGAACTGCTGCAAGCTCTGCTGTGGGGATTCCACCTGGGAGTTATCTTCTATAATGTCACTGTCCACTTCCTCGGCCACGCCCGATGTACTCGCCTGGTCGCTGTGGGATAGGGAACATTACTACCCGAAGAGACAGGCGGAGATAGAGATCTTTTTCATAAGGTAAAAGACTAATTCATGTCATGTGTTTCGGGGTGCGTTTTGGAAGTACTATGTCATTTCTATACGTGTTTTTTTAAGGGGTGAAAATCATCGAATGACTGCTCCCGCCTGGGTTACTGACTAAAAACTACCCCGTTCTTTCTCCTGCACGTCGAGCCAGAGCCCCGGTAACCCGTTAGGTTCTCCGCGACGGCATCTAACATGTACGGAGCTAATGGGACATCTGTATACTCTTATGGACTGCTCGTCAGAATTTTGAACTAAAACGCCTTAATTGACAATCAGAAAGAGCATATGCCGAACATAAAATGTGCAGTTTGTGTAGCTAAAAAAATAGCTCTAGTAAACGAGTGAATACAGTAGATGCCTAATTCTTATTTTAATGTCCGCCTGGTAGAATATTTTAAATCATTAGACACGTATTTTTTATTTTCTTACAGAAACGAATACTTGTCTAATATTTTTTCATTACCTAACTTACGGACTAATTTTCATACCCTGTCATCATCCCAATTGCATGCCATATGCCTGGGCATTAGTGGGCATCGTTTCAGTTCCAGTTTTTAATGTGAATTAATCCCCAAGCCCCCAAGCGATCACCGGTGACCACTCTCCACTAACTACATTATAGACCTTATTTCCGATGTTTAGAGACTACTTTTGTATGAACAAATTTAGGGGATGATATTTTAACAGGTTAAATTATGTGGAAATCCTAATACCTAGTTACCTACACAAATAACTCGAGAAAGGAGGTTGCTTATTCTGTATTTCCCTACGTATAAGCCCCCGGGTGCAAACGGAGATGTTGTTATGGCTATTGCGTGATAAAAATAAAAGTACCTTTAGCAACGTACCTACTAAGCCCGCAGGGATAGCCATATCCGATTACGATTGAAATGAAAACCAGTCTTGAGCCAAAATGTCTAGATACCTTTTTTAATTGCGAGGGAAAAATCATCCAATGGCTTCTCCCGCCATGGCTGAGGCGAGAGGGAGTGTCAGACTTTTACTGACTAACCACCACGTTCCTATATCTGCTTTCAGATAGGACCCCGGCAACTCGCATATCGGATATCGAGATCTAGATTGTTAAAATTAGTCTGATCTAGAACATAGGCTTTTATCCCGGGTAAACATACGGGTCACTTGAGTAGTTGTAAATGAAGATGTCGAGGCACAGACAATTTATATTTATTACGTAAGTATCACGACGATACAAGCTGATATGCTTATCAGAATATCATTATAAGTAATTTTTGCTTGATATTAAAATATTGCGCATCACATTTGCGTATTTTAAACTTAGGTAGGTACCTACTTATGTAATTATAGACTTGTACGAGATCAGTGACATAATATTAAGTACATACCTAGTGAATAATAAACTTGAAGTAAAGCTATTAGTTTGCTTGACTCTTTGTCATAAGGTTGATTTTTAAGCAGAATAAACAGTAACTCATTTTGAACATACGATTTTTCGTGTCTTTTTGTATCTTCATAGCTCTGGCGCGTAGGAACCCTATGGGCTACTTTACTGGAATATTTGAACTGTGAAGTGAAGACACTATACGAGACTATGGTCGAACAACCAACAAACAAAATGTCATCACAATGGAGCTTTTTGTACTGTTTTAAATGAAATAAGTCATGTTTTTTTTTTTAAATTGAATCTTATAATTTGGACTTAGGCAGGGCTTTCAATAGATGCCATGTTTGAGCACGGCGCATTGCGCATACTTACCATATTTTAATCTGTGCTACTGTTTGTAAAAATTTGTGCAGTAATCGGGTCCAATCTTTTTTAATATTTCTGTGGGTCCAATCCAACGACTTATGTCCAGTCTCAATCTGTCAGTAGATTTGGTACTATTTAGTAGGTAGTTAGAGATAGAATTAAACTTTGCACAAAAAATGTTCTGTGGTCATTAATCGATGTTTTTCCTCGACTGTTCAAGTCAATGCATGCATACCTTGAATAATATTTATAAACTACGTTTAGAAAACCGACTTTAGCCTCGTTTTGTAGTCTTATACCCGTAAGTATTGAAATCTGCTCCTAAGTAGAACCTAACCGGTTACCGGGGCTCCAGCTCGAAGTGCAGGAGTAGGAACGGGGTGGGGTTTAGTCAGTAAGAGTCTGACACTCCCTCTCGCCTCACCCAGACGGGAGAAACCATTGGATGATTTTCCCCCCTCAAAAAAAGGTGTAAGAACCTAGGTAACAATATCCCATGATACCTAAGCGCGGATAAACATACTTAGGTACCTACCTTTACCTACATACATAGACATAGGTACAGGTTAAACAGAGGACCTTCATCTTTTTTGAAGTTGGTTAAAAAAGAGCAATTAGGTACCCAATTTCGCGAAATGTAGGTAAATAATATGTAAGTACCTATAACTAGGTACTGATAACAAGCAATGGTTGCGCGGTTAGTGTGCCGCGCAGTGCTGTCTGTGGTAGCGAGTTCATTTCGAGTATTTCTTTTTTTTATATTTCATTCAGCCAAAATGGTTTCTCGAATGATCGATCTGTGTAATACTTAGGTAATTTATTTAATGAGTAAGCGCGTTTATAAGTAATAAAATCTTACTTAAACATGATGAAGCGGGCCCTAGAAACTAGATTTAATTAGGTACCTAGTTAGGTAATGTGATTAATTAAATGTACTTATGTTAGTTCATGATATACTTAATACTAATCTACAAATTATTAAAAATCAAGTAGACCCACAACGTAAGCGTAGGTATAAGCCGGTAAAATGATGATAGAACACTTTACAAATTGAGAAATTAATAAAAGCTCTCACCAAAATAATTAATCAAAATAATATCAATGAATAATTATTATTAATATATATTGAATGCAAAAAAATAATATTATCAAAAGAGGAACTTACGCAGGCACAAAGAAACACACGGACATCTTGTATCAAATCCACGACACGGCGACCTCGAGTTTTTCACAATTCAGAAAGACTTTCCAGCTTGATTAATTATTGGAAAATCGCTATTAGAAAATTAGTAACCGCTTCTAAAGTTAATAAAAACACAGTAACCAATAATCAGTGTAATATTTGGAGATCTCCAATCAACAATTACTGAAAATGCGCCCGACACACGATTCGTCCACTGATGACCAGTCACAAGCTTGACGTTTATTTAGTATTGCCAATTAACACCATTCGTACGATTTCTAAAAACTACCATCAGGCACTAGCTATAAAAAATTAAGTTATTTTGATTTAAATGCAAAATGAAATTGGTTTTTCATCAAATAACGTAACAGAAACAAATAATTAATAGACATCCACTTGTTAAGTCTATCTAAAGCTATGAATCCTCACAGTAATCTGTAAATGGTGGACATGTGGTAGATTTCGGAAAAATAATTGGTAACCAAACCGGAACCAGTAAAACGTCAGTGGACGTCATCAAAGTAGCGTCTGCTAATAAAATGGCGGCGGCCGAGATTCAGATAGTGAATCCTTCAAATTTATCAAAAATTGAAAGGTAAATCGAGTATAATATTTACGAGTGTCTACTTTATATTTCCATGTACAATATTCAATAAAAAGACTACGGTCTCGGTGTGCATAGTGGTATTGTGAAGTGCATGTTTCTGATGTTTGTTTTCACATTGTTACAGTTTTCTCAATGATCCGAGTTATAAAGAGATTATTGAGAACTCTTCAACCTTCAATTCGCGACTATGTGCGGAAAGGAGGATGCGTATGCCATTTATCGACACACAGACTGGTAAGTTATCGATTTCTCTCATTAGTACTTGAAGGCGTCGCCGCCCACCGAAATGTATAAATATTTACTTATTATTCGATTGCTGTAAGTGCTACAACTTATTAGGGAGATTTGTATCTTACTACTATTTGTTATTACCGGCCTATTTGTTGATAACAACGTAATTATTGCACTAAACTTCGGTTCTAAACAGTATCAAAGTTTACCTGTCTCTATCTACTACACTATGTTTCCAACTGGCTATCTCTTTCTAAAAATCGAACCTACTTTTAATCGAGGTCTAATGTAAGTACTAAGTATGGCTAGGTATCCTAGGCGTAACCTGGGCTAGGATAATAAACAACTTTCCGCATGTAAGCTAGTTTTGTGTTTGTTCTGTAATATTAATCGTAAATGTAGCTTTTATCATTGTTTAATAAGTCTATACAAAGATTTTTGTAGGTCTTAATATGAGTAGGAATTCAAGTTAAAACGTAATAACTATGTCTACTACACTCAACTAAGAAAACTGTTGTTCGTAATCAGAAAAACAACACAGGAGTCTAGAATAGCAGTAGACAGATACACTCTATGAACTCGTTGAGTACCGTATTTATAGACACAATTAAAGAACAATAGGTTGCAGTCACCGGTGACCGCTGGGTGTTTGACAGTTTAAATGGAAGTAATGACTGTTGCTTACTTGATATCCATAACTACCATGGAACTTCTTTATCAAAGAAAAAACATTGCTTTAGTTGATAAACACAACACCTTCAGACTGGGACGCTTATTCTTAAATCCAATTTTGATCAATCAATATTAATATTGTAAAGTTTCATACTGCTAAATTGCAACACTAGCACCCATTGCATTAACTCGTCGAGTACCGGTTTTATAGACACAATTAAAGAACAATAGGTCGCGGTCACCGGTGACCGCTTGGTGTTTGACAGATTAATATTGGGTGGATGTTGATTGAACTATGGATGGCTTTATATTCCATACCATGAAAGCTATTTAACAGCTAGGATTGCGGTTGCATAGTGTTGACTTTGATTAATTATTGAAATTTTATTAGATTGAAATTACATTGACATTGGTATTGGTTTTAAGAGTAAGCACCCTGGAATAACATTTACAGATGACACAAACAGTTAATGATTTCGTTATGGCAGCCACAGGATATTTACTGCTTCACATAAGCGTCACCAAATGATTTCCATATTGACCAGTTGAAAGCGATGTCCATTCAGTTCATGTTTGCATGAATAAAACTCGTGGCATATTGTACAGCAGCCAGGTGCCTAGTCTTGCAGTCAAGAGCGAGGATCTATTTGTCTGTTGTGCTGCGTTGCGTCACGTCACGTCGCTAAATATCAATCAAAACTTCTAAAATTTTAGAAATATTATTAATTTACATAACATCACGCCTTTTATCCTCGAAGGGGTAGGCAGAGGTGCACATTATACCACTGTTATTTTTATTATTATTAATTTAATAGCTATCTAATAAAATAATAACATTTCTAAAATATAATAGGGTTTGAGAGTTTAGGAGTAAGGTAGGCAAGCCTAGGTGTCATAAAAGGAGGTTTCTTCTTAGTAGACGGGGACAGTGAGACGGCCCGGATGTGTGTGTGCGCAACATTTCGCCGGGGCCCGTCGTCGAATTGCAGACTGTTACTAAAAATCGAAGATACGGTGGGCGCAGGTGCTTCGGCCCTTGTTGTGCTACTGGCTTAAACAAATCGCTTCGATAGATCCACCGCAATACGGTGGAAAGACGCTGGTGCAGTGATGATTATCGTTTCTATTTTTCAATGGTTTCTGGCAGAGAATCATAAACGCAAACTGTCTTTTTAAAGACAACTGCTTTCCGGTTTCTGTCTTGCTGAGCGTTGATAACGTTGGTAATTAGTATTGTGGAAGGTATATGCTAGGTATATGGTTCGGTACTGGTAAGGTATTTGGTGGTATTGGTAAGATATGTGGTATGTACTAGTAGGTATGTAGTTATGCGGTGCCTTGTAGCCAAGAGTTAAAAAATATATTTCTATGAATCACAGTAGGCCTCGCTCTAAATCATTAACTGCCAATGAGAAACTGTTGAAGACACTTCCTCTGCTAATGTTGGTCACTTGTGAAGTGAAATGTTAAATCTTTAAGTAAGAATTTATTTACGTAAGTTAAAAATAAGAATTAGAACATATTTATTAACAGTTATTTGTTACAGGTGTCGCACAGAGCCACTGCAATTTGTTCATGACAAGAAGACAACGCATGCCTGGCCAGAAAGAAGGACAAGTGTACACATACCCCGCACAGAGGTTTGTTTTTTAATTTATATTATATAAAATATACTCTATGGGTTTCACCAGTTGCTGAAATCCTATTGGTCATAGTGGCCTGTAGTTCCCTCAACTCCTATTGGTCATAGTGTGGTTATTATGGCATGTAGCCTTCCTCGATAAATTGACTATCCAACTCAAACATATTTAATGAATATGTACTCGTAGTTCTGGAGATTATTAATAATATTCTTAATTGAATAATATTTCATTTGGTAATACATAAAAAGCTTTCATATCAAATCTAGTAAACAAAATAATATTAATAAAAAAAAAGTAGTATTTCATTAAATTTGTTATAACAGTTTATAAAGTAATTCTTTCTCATATGTAGATGGCGCAAAGCCCGCCGCCAATATCTAACAATGTCATCTACGCGGTGGGGATGGACGGGAGCCGCAGATAATCTTGACAATACTGGAGAAGGAGAGAACAGTTCCGGAGTGCCAGGCGATGCACTAGCTGGTGAGGACAGCAGAGACGGATCACAGACTGCTGCTAAGGACGATCCTAAGGTGAGAAAAACTTAAAGAAATGTATCAGGGTTTGAAAATATCAGATACTTATGATATGTGTCCGATTGTGTGCGATTTAAGTAATATATCAAGTTTGACATATTAACTAAAATAATAGGTTACTCACGTGAATATACTGAGAAAAACTACTAGTTTCCAACCACAGAGGGGTTCCAACCACAACAACCTCATGTGCAGTGTGCGCGGTCGCGGCGATATCGCGTAGGTCAGTCATCTCTGTGGTTCGAAACTAGTAGAGCTTTTCTCAGTGTATTCACGTGAGTAACCCGCAATTTTAGTTAATTTAGTATGTCTCACGATAGTAAATATAAAAGTTTGATATAATCAAGTTCAATATCTACTATAAGAAGTTGATATAATTATATCCATTTTGTATGAAAGTTATTTTGTTATTTTTAAAGTGCGTAAAATCCGACAAATGAAAACATAATATTTCTTCTAGATTAGACAAAATTTTTATATACCACAATATATATCATGATATATGTCCATTAATACATATCCTTCCAACCCTATTGTATAATAATTAAAAGAAAAAAATCATAGAACCTCTTTTGTTAATTATACTTTACGGTACAGTTTACTGACACAACTGTTTAACAAGGTAACTTGACTAGTTTCAAACCTCTTTAGGGATATTAGTATTCCAGAACAGCATTTAATGTGAAAATCTATTTTTCTGCTCATTACTTAGTTGAATAAGAAATCTGTGACTAACTGATTAAAATGATCCAGCAAGATCTGATGTAGGAATAAATCGTCTTGTATTGATGATTGTTAATAATGATGATTATTTCTCTTCTCTAATCAAAATAAATTGTCATAAAATAAAAAATGTATGGATTATGTCTGGCACAGATACCAGGTCAAGGGTGGGGATTTTTGAGCAGTGTCCTTTCTTCAGTAAATAGTCGACTTTATGACCAAACAATAATGTAAACTAATAAATTATTATGTTTTCGGCTTACTCACGTAACTGTTTGACGAGGAACTCGACTAGTTTCAAGCCATGCTAGAAGCTTATATTCATGAATAGCCTTCGTTATGTGAGTAAGCCGAAGACATAATCGATTAATTTTGTATGTCTCACGAAAGTTTTATTATAAAAATGATGTAAACAATCGATATAAAGATTATGACAATTTACCATTGTCCTCAGGAATGGTTCTACGATGAACTAGCAATGGAAGAAATGGAAACCGGTGAGGAACCGGAAGCGGAATCGGATGAGGACTACTATGATGACACATACGCGAACAGGCGCAAGAGACGTGGTGGGGCTACACCGACGGGTCCTGGTTCCCGGGGTGGACGCACGAGGAAGTCACAACCTGATGATACACCCGCCAAACGGGGGAGAGCTGTGAGTATGATATCTGTTCTGGTGTTGCATTATTTTTATGGACGCTGCCTAGAGTTTTGAGGGCAGCGAGGCGGCTACGGCCGCGGCGGTGACGCTGCAGCGGCAGGATCTTATGCGTAAAATCAAATGGACCGGTTCTCGAAAATACAGCGGCGTGGCGGCGGGCAACGAGCATTGCACTCCAGTCAAGCGGTGCCTGCCGCGCGGCCGCCGCCTCCCCGCTGCCCCCAAACGAGGCAGAAGCCTATTATCTTATTGTAGTTAGATTATGAGGAAATGTTATAAGGTTATTTTTTGGTGTTCTTCGGATGGAGGTATAAAATTGTTATATATTTGTTCTACGTCCTAGTGTAGTTTGTCGTTTGACTTACAGTACGACTGACGTTTGGGGTCTAAGGGGAAACTTTTGTTCAGTAGTTGACGTCTTCCCGCTGTTGATGATGATGGCAAAGTTTAAAGTTGTAGTTTAATTTTGTAATAGATAGTTAGTTTTTTCATGTAAATTTACAGCAAAAACCATAGTAGATGATTGACACATAAAGCCAAAGAGAGTTCAAACGATATTTAACATTTTAGCTCTTATAAATATGAAAATGATTAAGTTGTAGGCTTCTCCCAGATAGTACCATCCCAGATAAGTAACATTTTAGCTCTTAGAACGCTCGGTTTTCAGACATCGAATGTTTAATAAGAGTACTGTAACTGTGGTCACTTAACTGCCCCACAATCCTCAAGAAGTCAGTGGTGACCGCTCTCCATTTTGGGGTACGATATTTCAGTAGGACGTACAGGTCAAACTGACATACTCCTTTTCTCTTGAAGTCGGTTAAACATATTAATGTTAAATCTGCGTTGTTGCAGGGTCGCGGGCGAGGCAAGCGCGCACAAGGTACTCTTCCCTACGAGGTGCCCGGCGACAGTGAAAAACCCTACGGCTGTGAACGTAAGTCACGACGGAGGCACTAATATGCTCCCCGCCTTACTCAGGTCCTTACATGCATCCTGATGAAGACATATCAATGTTATTCGTTTAATGGCGTTGGAAATGGAATATTCTAGAAGATTCTTAGTACATGAACCGTATTGTAATGTATGAGAGCCTAATCTACTCTAATTTGTCAACCTTATTTATTAGATTTTCGGCTTTATGTCACTATAATAAAGTTGGAAATCTAATAACGATATTTAACGGATGGTAGAGAAGGGTAGATTAACCTACCTACTGGCTTTTGTATATGGATTTGTTCGACTTTTAACCTACAGAAAATGTTGTCTCTGACTTGCTGTGACATGCCCATGGTCAGACTTATTCAACTTAAAAGAAATTGTAAAAACTAATTTGTTAATACAAAAATCGTTAAGCATTCTTTCATTGCATTTAGAAGAATTCTAAGTTCTTGCCATTGGATTAATTATTAAAAAAGTACCTTATATTCTAACTAGAACTCTTTTAAATGTGACAAAAGAGTTTATTATACAATTTCAAACAGATACCTAACCTAACCAGACGGACAGCATTCCAAGTCCAATCCGTAAATTGCAGTTACGCGTTAAGCGTTCTAATTGGTTGGTTCATTTGAGCCGGCCAATCAGAGCGCCGAACGCGCTCGATACTATTACGATACGAATGCGATAGTTATTCGTGCTTGGCCCTCTGTTCTATTGCAGTCGTGACCAAACGGTTGTCGACCAAACATGCAGTCCGATTACAGAGGCCTTAGTACGAGTTTTATTTACGTTTAAAGTATTCGAAACGAGTACGCGTTCGGCACTCTGATTGGCCGGCGCCAATTAACCAACCAATTAGAGCGCTGAACGCGTACTCGTTGCGATTACTTTAAACGTAAAACAAACTCGTACTAAGGCCTCAGTTCTATTGCAGTCGTGACTAAGCGATTGTCGACCAAACGTGCAGTCCGATTACAGTTCTATTGCAGTCGTGTCAACTCTGCAATTTGTGGTTGGATTGCACTTAAAATGCAGTCCGTCTGTCTAGAGCGTTACTCGAAAATTTTCAAAATATTTCCATTTCCAATACCAAGTCTACTGATACTATACAGCAGCACCAATCAAGATATATACCAATAAATAAGAAATAGATATAGATGTACATTTAGCATAGATATGTATCCCGCATCGAAAACAATAGTTAATATGGATAGACATTCCTGCGAACACAAATACCTATTTGCAGTAGATTTGCCAGGCAGTTAACCGCAAACTCGGAGACATAGTAGTTCCTTAATCCAGTCTTTAGCATGTGTAAAACAAATATGTTACTAAGGACTAGTTTAAGTAATCAATAAATGTCTTTGAGTTAGGTATTTAACGGACAAAATTAATAAATACTCTCTAATCTCAATCCATAATTATGGAAGATTATTATCTTTGGATTGATCTAGGCTTTGGAAACTATAGAAGTTTTTGGGTTGAAATTGCTTATGAATTAGCTGTTTATGAAGAATAAGTCCCCAGACATATTCCACAAATGCTAGTGGAATTGGATTGCATAAAATATTAATGTACGGGGTTAACATGCGACAAATTAAGCCAATTTTTGTGTATTGCGTAGTATAAAAAAAACAACAGGTTATTGAATTTGACTGCCTTCTGTATAATAAAAGGGCGAAATAACTTTATTAATTAATTGCAATAGAAGTTTAAGGTTTATCAATTACTGCTTGGTACAATCTACTGTGACTTTATAAAATCCTAGAAAAACTAAAATGAATTTTTGCTCAACAGTTTTGTCTTAAATTAGGACCTGAGCATGTAGAAACTATTCAATGGTTACAAAAAACATATAATGTGTGGTCTGTGGTCAATGTAGATGTACATAGTTTTTGGTTAAAAAGGAATACTGGTGATACAGCTTACATTTTTTTATATTTAATTATGGAATCGATTCATGCTATGTAACGTTCTGGTTCATTCGAAGCTTGTATTCGTAATTTATAAAACATTTTTAGGAATCCATCAAATTGATCTAATTCTTGCTTTAAATTTATGATATTTGGTATTATTAAAGTATTTCAGTCAAAATTAATGGTTTCGGTTTATGAATCTATTTAAATTTTAATATAATTTCAATTTTATTCGTTATTTTTATTCTATCTTACTTAGATTTCATTATATTATTATTCGTTCGGTTTTTTTAATCTATGAGAGGTAAGGGAATATTTATAATGTTGACGTTTTTTGACATTTCGAAAAAGAGTATTGAATTTCACCATGTAGTTGTCATAAAGAAATTGCGTTTTGCTCTAAAATTAACCCTTTAATTGGCAGAACAATCAAAACAATAAAATTGATGTTTTAACAACGTGATTCGATTTCTAGCACTTCTTGGACATAGTAAAAAATAGAAAAAAAAATCTGAACCTTTCAGGTTTCTGAAAATGATATGTGAAGTATACTGGACACTACCAAATACTTAGCAATGAACAGACTGAAATGTATGTGCAATATACTGGACTGTGCTAAGTTTACTAAGATAAATATAATAATGGAAAAATAAATGAAAAATTGATTTTAAGTATTAATTATGTTTATTTTTTATGAAAATTTAAAAAACAATTTCTTTTTCCGGCGACAAAACATAGTCTTTGGTTACATTTAATATATATAACATTTGTTTTACCATCCTTACAGTAACGGCATCTCCCATAGCTACATGAATCGGGAAAATGGCCTACTTGATCATAGCGAATTTCTTCAATTGGTCTCGCTACCACAGGTTTCTTAATTTTTCTTTCTTCTTTTATATCTTCCGTAAAATCACTCCGTTCTTTAACTGGTTTTCCTTTTTCCAGAAGACTTTCAAATATATCTATCCTGAACTCTTTCAACGATTTTTCCTTATTTTTATTTTGCCGATACAAAAGCCATGCATTATTGATGCATATATCAATCAACTGGGCAAAAATGGAAAGATACCATCGTCGTGTCTTTAGAGGAATCTTGTATAGGGATATTAGCATATCAGCCAAATCGACCCCACCCATGTTTTTATTATAGTTTTTGACTATCTTAGGACAGTCAACATCAACCTTTGCTTTATGTTCTTTGCTATAACGTTTTATTTTATCCACGGGGTGAGAATCGACACAGGAACTAATAAGTGTAACACATTTATTGTCTAACCATTTCACCACTGCCAGTTTATTTTGGTTACAAACTCCTTGCGCGAAACTGCCTCGTGGTTTCTTTTTAAGGTCTTTGTCAGAAGGAAGTACACTCTCGCAACCTCTTAGCCGGTTTCCTTTTATAGTACCAGTGCAAAATATTCCGTAATTTTCACGCAACATGTATACGAGCTCAGGTGAAGTAAAAAAATTATCACAGTATACATTGGCAGGTTTCTGGCGAATTGTTTTACACAAAGCAAGAACAACTAGCCCTCCTAAACCTATAGAAATCTCATCCTGTGTGAAAGTATAATTTCTAAATGTGTCCTCTCCTCCATATAAAATAAAGTCATAGATTAAGCCTGAAGCTCCCGCGCGAACGAAGTTTTTAAAGCCCCACTTATTTGGTTTATTTTGAATATATTGTCTTCTATTTCCCGCCTTGGTCCCTTTATAGGGAATCATCATCTCATCTATACTGAAATTTTGTTCCTCGTGTATCTTCAGGCAGTTTTGCCTAATTTTTTCCACTACTGGCCGAACTTTGAAGTATCTATCACCGTCGTCCAAATTATTATCGATAAAATGTATGTAACGTCTAATTGTTTGATATCGCTTTAGTGGCATGAGATCGGCGATATTTGTAAATCTAAGTCTGCGGCTCCAATAATCAGTGTAGCTAGGCATTTGTACCACACCCATCAAAATTTGTATTGCAATAAAAGTTAGAAACTCTTCATGAGTTAGTTGTATGGATCTTCCTTTTACCTGAACAGAGTACAGATTCGATTGATCTGCTATGTCTTTTATTATATTTGGTGAAAAAAAACGATAAAAGAACGAAAGAGGTTGTTGTTCGTCTTCACTCGGCATCAGCGGCGTAATTTCATCAATCTCAGCCCGATGAAAAAATAAATCCTTCTTCCACTTATAACTCAAAACAAATTTCTTAGTCGATTTGACTTTTTTTGAAATCACTTTCTTTTTCTGCGCTTTTTTACGTTTTCTAGTGGAACATGTATCAATGGATGGTTGGCCAGTTTGCACTGAACCAAGTGATGGTAAAGAACTTATAGAAGGGATGGCATCGTAATTTGGTTCATTTTGTGATGGAAAAACATTTTGTAAAATTGGTGTGAGTGGAATTGAATTGTTATCTATATTTTCATCTTCGGAAGATTCTAAAATATTCAAAGCTTCTAAGGCGGAATCGACTGAGATTAAGCTGCTATCATCGGAAGAATCATGGTTATTCAAAGTTTTATTTGTAAGTTCAATTTCTTCGGTAGACGAAGCGTCACTGGAATCGGAGCATGCATGTTCAGGCGGTATCAAAGCAACTAGTCTATGCGTGCGGGAGCGTATCAATCGCTAAAACAAAAGGAAAAAGCTCATTTGATACATGCAACCATCACCAAACCAAAATACTAATTAGTTGGCATTGTCCAACCCACTTCCCAAACAAAAACAGTGATAGCATTGTGAGCAATTGGCAGTGTGAAGTATACTGGACAACTAGTTTTAAGTGCAATTTACAACGTTATTGATGCAGTACTGGGTTATTATTTGATACCATATAATAAACCGTCACTTTGAAATTATATATAATGCATAGCGAACCCATGTAAACCTTTCTATATATGAAAAAACATTGAAAAACTTACCTGTGTTGCATTAACCGACCGTTGCTTCGACATCGTTTTGATTTTTGACATATTTTGATGTTGCCAGGTATCTAATTTATTTTTCTACCAAATGCTTACCATATTGTGGAGTTATCAGAATAAAAAAATTGTTGGTATAATCAGTATACTCG